TTGTAGCATTTTAAATAGGACTTTAAAATGATTTATTTGGTTAAATATAGCCTATGTATAAATTGAGTTACAGTATTTCAAGATGGCAGCACACTGCAGGCCCACATGTGGGTCAACGTCCAGCAATTATTTTCATAATTAAAAAAAATAGGCCATATGTCTTAACTTACACTTCAGTCAAATCAAGATTCTTTTTTTTCTCCACTATTATTCTTGAAATAGATAATGGACATGTAATCCTTGATATGGCAGCAGTAGGAAAAAAAATACCTAGCCAATTTGTAGTCGAAAGTAGAAAAGCACATGAATGCTTTGTAGAAGAGCTGATGAATATGAGTGCCTAATATAGGTCACAGCACCAGTAACTAACAAGACAACACCTTGGAAATTGTTTTAGTCCATAGTCAGAACTGACAGGGCACTGTAATATTCAAAATAACTTAAATCATCAACTAGACATTACAAAAATATCATCCCACATATAGTGCTATGAATGTGGCATAGCCAACTTTACATTACACGTAAATGTACACTAACACAAACTGTTATTTAAGATATATGCACCATAGATAATGGTCTATTTTTCAGCCTTAACTTTAACGCAAAATGATGGATGGTGCACGCTGCAGCAGCATGTTCACCAGCAGGGAACACAGGCTTAAGGCCTAAAGAGCAACCGTGGGATGAATCCCACACATTTGGAAAAGATAGTGTTTCATATGTATGTTTCATAAAGTGATTGGTGCCTAAAAGATAATAATGGCCCTGATATGGCCCTGTCTGCAGCCTTAAATTTAGTGCAGGGTCAACACGTTCACAGGCTAATCCGGAAACCTGTTTAATATGCAATGTAGAATTCATCCACCTTTTAGCTGCCATAACATCTTGGTATAATTTACCCTCAGATGTCACACGCTATGTGGGGGGTTTTAACATGTCTGAAACTTTATTTGTTGCTTTTTGGACATTAGGTGTTCATCAAAATGAGAACAAAACGAGTCACCTTTAAAGCTAGCCTCCTTTTTTTCACCATAGGCCTGTAGCTTGGTTTGTAGCAGCAGTCAGTTGCTGACCATGCACCTGCTCATGAAAAATACATCAAGATGCTACTTTAAAAGTGCTCACAGTTAGCCTGTATCCTCTGTGTGCTATGCTACATTTGTTTGTAAATTCTATCACTATTTCCTGCTAGCAAAACTGTGTAGTCTTGTCCCGATGCATGCATGCATGAGGCGCTGCAGAAAGTCAGACCGGTGGTTTCAAGGACATTTGGAGCTGATGAGGATTTGGTTATAATGGGGGAGGTGAGAAGGAGGGAGAAGGGGGGGGGGGGGGGGGGAGTTTGGGCCCCGGGCCATGACGTCATTGTGCGCCCATGTAATCCTCTTGCGCCGAAGCCCAATCAGCAGAGAGTCGCAATTGTCTAGGATGGAAAGAGAGGGGCGCTCTAATCCGGGAGACAGTGGATCACACAGCCCGAGAGAGAGGGAGAGAGAGAGAGAGAGGAGAGCGAGAGAGGGGGGCATGCATCCACGGCTGGATTGTGCCTGAAATGGGTCAGATTAAAAAGACACGAAGCAAAAAGGAACCGGCTGACTCTTGGTGGAGAGAGGACCTTTCTGCAGACGAAGAAGCCATTTTCCCACCTCGAGAGATTTAGCCTTCCGACTGCACGAGCTTTAGTGATACGATAGGGAGCTCTGTGGCGCATAGAAAAACCGCTTCCCTCCAGATTTGCATTTGCTTTAAGTAAAACTAGCCTTCTGTAGTTTGGCAGCTGCATGGAGAGAGGAGAGAGGAAACATCGCGCGTTTTGTCCGTGGGCGTTTATCGTGGACGAGTCGGGGAACTGCATTCAAGACAAGTTAAATGGAGAATACAGCACTCTTCGCAGTGGGATGTATGACTTCAAACTAATAGCATTGTGAAGTGCTGCATCGTTGTTTCCTTTTGCTTTGCACTGTTCTCTTTGTGCTTTTGGCTAGGCTGATGTTGTAAATTGAGTGGTTTGGGAAAGGACAAAGCGAGAGCCTGTGCAGCGCCAGCTGTCATTCGGTGCGAGGTAACCTGGCAGGAGCTGCGTAAATACGCACAGATATAAAGAAGAGAAGTGCGAGCAAAAAGTAATATTTACCTTTTTAATATGCAAGATTTGTGCTTGAGATAACTGAATTGCGGGCCGTGAGCTGATAGTGTTTGATCCCGAGCTTTGTCGCAGTGATATCAATATTTCTGTGCGTGGAATCCAAAGAGGCGCAGGAGAGGAATTTGGCCGCGCGCGTTAATGCTTCTGTCGGCAATAAATCGGCTTTAGATTTGAGTGTCTGCATGCATGCGAGTGTGTGTGTACGAGTGTGTGTGTGTGTGTGTGTGCTGATGATGGTGTTGCAAAATCGGCTTTAGATTTCTGTATATGTGTGTGTCTGTCTCTCTGTATGTGTGCGTGTGTGTGTGTGTGTGTGTAAGGCTGAGCGCGCGCACGAACGGGAGCTGTACTTAAATCGCAGTCATGCAGTCTTGCGTCCTCCTTGGCGGCAGCTGTTGAAGGTTTGAGCGCGTGGGAGTCAGTCAGGGTGAGAGGGTGCTGGCTTGACTTAATGTGCACCCATCAGCGGGAGGAAGACTTCTTGAAGGGTTGTCACTCTGCGTGTTCACAGCGGACCTTGATTTAATGTCCATACAATTAAGGCACGCGGTGAATGCCAAGAGAGGAATCTGCACGGCATCATGCTTTACATTTTACACCTTTATTTCATCAGGCCGCGCTTTAACTACTTTGACCCTAAATGTTAGTGGAACAGGCCTTAGCTGAAGCTGGCTGCTATACTGTCATTCAGCTGCATGTGAGTGTGTGTGTACGCGCACGCGCAAGCATGTGAATGCGTGCCTATGATTGTGTTTGTGTTGCTTTGACAGGTTGAGCGCAATGCGTACTTTAATTTGCCATTACCGCATGATATGAGGTTACCGCGAGTTTGCTGGAACAATTCTTCAAGAATCTAAATGTTGGTTTACATCTATCAATTGTCTCACTTCTCCAAATAGTGTACAACGCCTCGCGCAGAAAACGACGCAGAAAAACGTTTGGACTTTTGCCAAGTGGGGTCATTGGCCTACATCTACGTTTAACAAAAAAAAAAAAAAAAAACATCTTCAGGATTATATTGATTGTTTTATTTACTAATTCTTCCATTGAACGTTAAGACCTGGCGATAAGCTTGCTTCTTTTTAAGTTCGCATTTGTACCTCTTAAGTGTAAAACACCATTTAATGTAAGGAAAGGAGCTTTGTTAATTGAAGCTCATTGTTAAGATGTCCATTAATGAATTGTAGGCTAAACCTTAAAGCAGCTTCTGATTGGAGGGCCCTATAGCCTGCTTACAGATGAAACATCCGAGCGCTGTGAGTCCGAAAAAAATGGGATCATCCACTGCTGTTATGCTTCATCTTTATCTTTGGGAGCCTGCGCGGCTGTCTCTTTACTCTATAGACTTATTCTGACAGTCTGACTATTTTCACAAAATGTTCCAGAGGCACTGTGGGCTGCGGTCTCAGCATCATTTCAAATGAGTGTGTAATGAATTATTTCACAAGCTAAACTAGGCCAACAGTTCCAGCCCACCACACCTTCACAGCTCAGGCCTACAGCAGAGACTGAAGAGACTCACACTGACGGCGGCTGCAGTGTTCAGGATGATGGAGTCAACATATAGACATTTAAGTGATTCAATGCCACCTACAGGCTTCCTTCTGTCAACGCATGGTTGAAGCTGTAGCCCAGTGAACGCCTTGGGACTAAATACTTAAGATAATTCATTAAATAAGAACTACTATTTCGAGATTTTATATAGATTTTCACTGACTTCACTTCTGTAGATTATTGCAGGAAAGATATTCCAAATCCAGCTATTTGCAATATTATTTGAAAGACCAATTAGAGGACTTCAACACATCACGTAACAAAAATAGGTTTACATTTTGGTATAAATTGCACATTTCATTAAACATTTTGTTTCAAATATGATATGCAACATGAACGCAACCAACATTTAAAACTAAATAACATTCACATTATAGATACGACTTCATTAAGATTTCAATATTGAGCAAAATCCAATTACAATTATTTAGCTTTATATAGATGACACACTGATGTTAAAGCCTGTAGATCAGAGAGTTAAAGTGTGATTTGTCTGTTTGATGGATTCCTTGTAATTCTGTGACTATAAATAAAGCCTGTTCCGTATACTGAGTTTCTTGCCTTTTCTTGATTCTTTTATATAGAACTGTGCATGACACTCGTGTCTACTTTACACAATGCAGCCATTATTCCCAGATTAACATCTGATGCGAATGGTTTTAAAATGAGAAGTTCAGTATATTCAATGTCTCTTGAGGAAGATTTGTACCAGATACAACAACGTTGCCTACAGTAGAAAAACTCTGTCGTCAGAATAGAAGTTGTTTTTTGGAATAAAATATAATAACATTTTACAGTTAAAACATCTAAGAGAATCTCTACCTTCATTAATGAAAAGAGAACTTACAGTATAATAACTCCAGATAAAGTTCTTTCGGTCTTTATGTGAACATCGCATCAGCAGTTCCTCCTAATCAGGACATCAGCACCATGGAGAGCTCCTGTGAGGGAGAGACAAAAAAAAACATCTGACTAAAACAGCATGTGTAGGGCATCTCAGGACAGAGGACTGGAGCAAGAAAAAAAGGTTTGAAACCTAAAGCATCTTAAGTTAAATGTCCGAATGAAATGCTACATATTGCTAATTAACCTTATTCATGTTTCAGCACTTTATCAAATTGGACCACTTGAACCAGGTCTGATTTTCCAAATGCAGTTTAGAAAACTCTGGAAGTATGAGGAAAGAAAGAAGAAAGAAATTTAAGCACCGGGCTGTCCTGCAGAGCTCCCTCCCTTTGTATAAGGTCATTACATGAGGCTATTACTCAATAACAGAAAATACACGAGATCAAGACAGTAATTTCTGAATGACGAGTTTATTAAGGCTTGATTTCTTCTATAAAGAGTAACCAGGATCGGTTTTTTAAAACAAGTTAATTCAACTACTACTGCGGTCTACTAAAGCGAATCAACTGTAGAATACTTCACGTCCTTAACCCTCATGTAGTGTTGATACATATACTCTCATGTCTAACTGGACATCCCTCTATTGCAACATACATTATCTGACGGTTATGAGTGTGTACATTAAGCCCTGTACTATGATCACAACCAGCTCATGCTTCCTGAGGCAAAGTAGGCTCTTCTTCTGTCGGGTCCTTACGCTTCTCAGCTCCCTCCGACTACGCTGGTCTGAGAGAGACGTCCGTGAAGGCAAACATGTGAAGGGCCTTCAGCGTATTGCTTGGATCAACCTAGCTATTGGTAAGTGCAGGTAATACAAGGAGAAGAGATGGAGGAGGAAGGATCCTGTCAGAGGTCAGTTCTTTAGATTACAATGGATTCACTAGCCTGTAAAAAAAAAAAAAAAAAAACAACAACAAAAAAAAAACACACAAAACTGGAAACTTTTGAAGTGTGCGATCATACTCACTCAAATTACCTCAGCAAAGTGAAGTACTTCTGCCATCTCACTGGCAAAACGTTCCGACAGAATCAAAGCACATCATATGTCATATAAACTCTCTACTGTAATCTGAAATCATCTTATTGAACAAAGAGTTCAGGCCAGAATAAATTTAAACATTTGCAACTGTCACTTTTGTTTGAATTATAGGTGAATTACTTCGAACTAAATTGTCAGTTTAAAATGTGAATTTTTTAAGACAAAGAATCTACTTCGGATTTAAATGCTTACATGGAATCACAATAAGAAGAAAATACTCCTCCACATTAAACAGCAGATTTCTAGCAGTTCCCTTCAAAATGATGAGCTCACTATCAAGAAGAGTCAAATGGTTTCTTATAATCAAGAGAAGAGAGAACCTGCTGATCTAAAATGCCCGAGGACAGATAAACTGCATTCTGGCTTTGATCATTCTGACATAACATGAGAACAGATACGCTGCAGGATGGGTAACAGTAGAACATTCCCAGCAGACTTCTTATACTGTAGCTTGTCATGCACGGGCACACACACACACACCTGTGAGTGACTGTGTTTTAATATCCAATGTTTTTTTTTCCCCCGTAAACAGACCTCAAAGTACTTTTCTAAATCATAATCAATGGTTTCAGTCTAGATTATTTTTTGAAACAACCAAAAAACACACAGAAACCACATTTCATTCTTATTTTTTTTCTTACTTGATAGTAAATCAGTTACATTAATTTTTAGGTTATACATTTTTTAGGCTTTCTCCATGAATATATAGGCTCCTACATTAAAGCTTAGCATTACGACCAACATGACAGACTTAGCAAAACAAAATTCAAGGAAAACAACCAAGAAAAAAACGAGGATTAAGACAGAATGATGGTGAATGGACAGAGACATGAACCCTCCCCCGTTTCTGTGGAACAAAAGCAACAATTCATTCAATGTAGTAGTTACATCATTACATAATGTCTGATTACAAAACAATTTAAAAATGTTAGATGCAACAATTCTCTCAGACTGGGTTGCGTACACATCAGAATCTCCCGATGAAACATACAAAAGACCCCTTCAAGACAAACATCAAAAGAAAGCAAAGCAGAGGGGTGTAAGGGAAGTCAATTGTACAATTTTTGACTTAAAATGGTGAGAGTTCTGGTTGTGGAGGACACATCCGTTTTTTTTCTTTCCCAGAGGCCTTTGCATTTCTTTCTCAGAAATGTCTCGAGTCCCGTGTGACTTCACACTATCCCTGATTTCTCCAGCAGTGTCACTGTTTGAGCAGTTCTTTGAGTCACCAATAATTAGAAAAAGAAAAAAAAAACATTAAGGCTCCAGAAAACAGGTTTCTGAAATGAAATTGTCAGTAGTAAGCCAAAAAATAGAGATTTGTCGATCTGAATGAAAAATAGATAAACCAGTGAAGTTTTATTATCGCACAGCTCCAAGTCCGACATTGCCTTTGGGATCCTCCAACCCTGTTGGCACAGTTAAAACCTCTGAAGCATGGCAATATTGCCCCCAAATGGACAAACAGGGGCAGGACACATCCGTTCCTGATTGTACTGAAATATAAAGTGGCAGATTTTTCTCCATGGTGCAGTCAAACCCTGATTCAATTAGAAAGAGGTTTGGGTAGGGGACGGGAAACCAGTCTGGTGAGAGAAGAGCACGAGATGGAACGGGAGGAAAAATACTTCTAAAAAAGGACCCCGAACTAAAGAGTGTGTTGGTAGCGGCTACGTAATACATGAAATCAGCTTGTTATCCCTGCACAAGAAGTGGGTGGTACATGGAGCAAAAAAGCACAAGTTTCAACAATGGCAGAGATTGACCAGGATTAAATAGAAAAAAAATGAAGGGCTTGGTTGCATTTTCATATTCATCTGTCTCTTAAATCAAAAGTCCTAGTGTAACTGTTGATCAAGCCAAGGATAAATGTCTTCTATTGTTTATTCCTGTTTTGACGCTCCTGTTAGGAAAAAGAACACAAAGAAATTACATTAAACACACAAGAATGATGTAACAGCAGAGTAAAGTGTAGAAATACACTGATCTATTTAAATCTGTTATCAAATATTAAGTTATCTAATAGTTCATCTTTAGTCAATGAAAATAAAAATCAAGTATAATTATCACTGGCTGTCAAAAAATGCCTAAAATACTCATGAGACATTCAATGACACGAACAAGAAAATATGACAGGGATTTACCTGATCCAACCGAGAGCGGCTCTGTATCTGAGGAGGTTCAAAGGTCTGTTAAAGAAGAAAATACAAGGGCACAAAACAAAACAAGAATTAGTCTCTCATTAAGAACCATCTAGAAACAAGGACCAAGAAAACATTGAAATTCTAATCATAGGTGCCAAAAACATATTTTTGATTCACTTTAGACTATTTGGGTGACCATGCCCACCTTTCGCACCTCCTCCTCTTCTTCCTGCCTCTTCTCATAATGGGAGAAATCATCAAAGATGGAGGTGGTGTGTTTGTAGGTGGTGATGATTTTGAGCACCTGTTTGGCCTTCTCCAGAGGAACCTCCTGGGTGTCACGGGAGTTGGTCACCGGTTTGTTGTCATTGTTCTCCAGGCGAATGTGGCGCAGCTGGCTATTAGGCACGTCCTTAACAAACAACCAGTCCACGTCAAACTTGCCCTTCCACTTGTCCTGCGCCCAAACACCAGCGCTGGTACCATAGTCCACTGGCGAACGCATCTCTGCCACACCACAGAAATGGCCGCTGCCGTTGACACTGAACAGCAGGTACACGGGGCCCTTACTGCTCATGGCCCGGAAGGCTGAGTCCAGCCGCTTGTTGCCATGCTCCGTGCTGCACCAGATGGAGTACTTGATAGAGCGATGGATATCGTCCTCGGAGTAGCTTTTAATGATGAAAACACGACCATTCTTCAGGTTCCACTCAAATTCCTTGGGGTTGTAGCTATGGTTGGCACGCAGCTTGTCAAGCACTGGGTGGGACTCTGCACCAGGTCCCTGGTTAGCAGAAGTTTGGGGGCCGCTGTTCCCACCACCAACCATACCCATCACACCACTACCATCTTGGCCAGGGCAACCCTGACCGTAGCCTTGGTTCCGGTTGCGCGGGGCAACCCAGCGTGTCTGGGGTTGAGGGGGCTGGGTGTGGTTTTGGTAGGCTTGAGGTGGTGGCTGATGGTGCTGGTGATGAGAGGGGTGGGGCTGTAAGGCCATAGGCTGCATCTGGGGCTGCACCAAAGATTGGGGAGGCGGGTGCTGCATGGGGCCTTGCTGCATGGGGGGTTGAGGTTGCAATCCATGAGGCAGGCCAAGAGGCTGCTGCTGCATTGGAGCTGTGGCTACTTTAGTCACTGGGCCCTTGTCCCAAGTCCCAATGTTCATGTTGTGTTTGATGGGTGGAGGAGGAAGAGCTCCTCCTGGATTGGGCATCCCTGGTTTCAACTTGGCTTTCAGCTGCTGTGGCTTAGCGGGCTTGCTTGCAATGGCAGCCCAGGATGTGGGTTTGGGTGGAGGCATTCCAATAGGTGTAGCTCCATTCCCTGTGGGCGCTACAGCAGGACCACCAATGACAGATCCCACTGCCTTGACTCCCGACCCCTGACCTGTTACATCCCCTCCGATCTTCAAACCGACCATACCCTGCTCCAGACTGTTCATTCCTGGTGCTTTGTTGAGGGTGTCACTATGAAAGCCTGTCTGACCATCAGGCACCAGGGTGCCCCCAAGGGAGCTAGGAGGGTAGCTGTAGCTGCCTCCATAGGCTGAACTCTGAGTCTGCTGGCCTTGGGAGCCACTTGTGCCCCAAGCAGAGAAGGCAGGGTTTTCAGGGAAAAAGTTAAACCTGTGGGGGTAGATACTGCTTCCCAGGCCCCCCGGCTGGCCAAACACCGTGTCTGGCATAAAGTGATGGTCTCCATTACTCAAGGCTCCGTAGGGGGTCAGGTATGGAATAGGCGGATCTCCACCTGTGGACCAAGGTGCCTCACTGAGGGGGTACGGAAACCCAATGGAAGGGGCGTAGTAGCTGGACAGGTAGGGATCGGTGATGGACTGGTAGCTGTTGTTCTGGATGGGTGAGGGTCAACAAAGCCACCATGTTAGCAGGTGAGTACAGTTTCCGTTCTATAAATCTTAAATTATCTTAGAGTACCAAACAGTTTTTGCATGTAGAAAATTCTAAGGTCTTGCATTGCTTCAATGAGATTTGATCACTATACAAAACTGATGAAAAAACATATACTTCAAATATATAGTTTAACTTCAACAATGAGATATAGTCTTAATGAATCCACTCTTCATTAACATTATTGATTGAAATAATGAAACAAATATTTAAGATCTAGATGCAGCTTTACCTGAGTTGACTGACTAGTGAGGTATGGCTCAAAGTCATTGTCATGGACAGTCTCCTTCTGATGCATTGAACCATTTTGCACTACAAAGAAACAGATTTACACAAATTTACATTTCAATAACCATGTATTGATGTAAAGGTTCCCATCTTAAATAACATCAATAATGAGAGTTGTTAAAGCTATCAAATTGTATCGTATTTTATACAGTCCGACCTAGGCTTAAGCCATTACACTACAAATAGAATTTTTTATTTTGTCAACTCCAGCACAGCACACGCAAGACTTAAGGTAACACTATAATAACATACTGCTATCAGATATTTTTATAATTTGTTTATAATTTGTTTTTGTTTCACAATAATATTAGTGCAACATTAACATTTACAAAGAAGGATATGATCAACACATAAACAAGATACTCTTATGTGTTCATCCTGAAAAGTAATCAGCCCGACAGGTGCCAGCCAGGCCTGAAGGTTAAAATGAGTCAAGTCCCGACTGTCACTTGGCCTCTTCCAGTAACTGCAGTGAATCAAAGATGACTTTAACTCAATAAAATTACAACAACAACAACAACAAGGCCATAAAAAGACAGATGCAAACACTAGTGTTAGAAAGAAACTGACAAAAGATTACCACTGAATAAATCTGTCTTATATCCGTGTGCTATCTTCAACTTTTTTTTTTTTTTTAAATGTATTGCTGAGGTTAGGGGTAATCAAGAGCTAAAAGACTCTGCTTTTGTTTCATCTTCTGATTGTATCTTAATTTTACAGAGACTGAGAATTAAATCCTTGCTAAAACAACTAAGCTACTGGTGGCCTATGACCTATGCAAAAAATAATGTACCGATAACCACAATAAAAGCCCACTATGGTTATGCAAATGAAAAAAGGGATCAATGTGAAATCAAAATAAAATCCCCAGAAATTTTAGAGGGCTTCTACCTTCAGTTCAATATGTGTAGATTTGTATCCCATTCTTTTGTGTTATTGTATTTCCTGATGGTGGGTATTTATAAAAGTGTATGAAAGCCGGCTGCATGTGATGAAGTAAAACTTTGCAGATGGAAAACATCAGCCCAGACTGAAAAGATATTTAAGCATTTTATTTAGTTTTCTTTGACTCACCTTTAGATGCTTGTCCCTTTGATCTCTGCTCCCATTGTGGATCATGTAAAAGACAAAAAAAAAAAAAAAAAAAGTAGACCACATGGTTAACTTGAGTAAATCAGATTTTTTTTTTGAGTTGGGGTCTGAAACCTGCCTCTTATAAATATTAACAATAATTTATCTCAGAAGCTGAACACAACAGACTACTTCCTGAAGAGAGGCAATGCACAACACTTGTCCTAACCTTACTCTACAGTGAAAGCTGTTCACACCAACACTCTGATACAAAACACTTGATCATGTATGTGTCTTTAAATTGTCTGTAAAGCAGATGATACAAGGAGGTAATTATAAAACAGCTAACATTGGCTAGCTAACGTAGCTCTCTTAAAATGGCTTTTTTTTTTCTTCCTCGACATGCCAATAGCCGCCAGTGCAGATTATAACTTAACTTTTACACTTGGACAAAACACATTTGGGCACCACTGCAATATTTTTAGCCACATGCAATAAAAAGTTAGGACACACAGCCTGAGTTACGTTTAGCTTTAAGCTCCATTTCATTCTTTAAACATTTAGGTTTCACGTATTCAGCCATGGCTGCTGAGTGTTCCTGTTTCTTTTGGGTGCAAAAAAAACCCAAAAAAACACACACAACAAGGTGTGCATGCGAGGATACAAATGTCATCTTTCCAGTAACATACATGTCACACATTTCCTCGTTTAACTCAAATGTAGCTCACTGTGCTAGCTCTTAGCACTTCCGAGGAATAGCCACATCCCGGTTAAATCGTTAACATTAGCAGCTAGCTTGCAGAAGCTCTTTGCAGGAGGTGTACAAGCGGGCCTTCCTACCTGAGGGTCAATGCTTGTGGCAGACATAATTCATTAAGTAAGTCCCTGGATTCTTCGCAGTGCCTGGATGTCAAGCCCCGTGATTTTTTTTTTTGAAAGCTCGGTTAGCGGAGTGTGGCTAGTTGTGCCGCTTAGCTGTGTGTGGCTAGTAGTTGTAGCTCAGCTGTGTATTTTCCGCTGTGTTGCACGTCCTCCCCAACTTCCACACTTTCAAGTCTATCGCCTCGAATACCGTGGGGCCCCCCCCCCGAAAAAAAAACAAGTCCTGGTGAAGCTTTTCCAAGTCTTTTGTGCGTTTTTTTGCGTCGTCGAGAAGGGCCTTTCCGTGTTCTCAATGTTTCTATCCTTTGGTCGCCTTTTACTTTGTCTTAATTATTCCAGAGAGAGAGAGAGAGAGAGAGAGAGAGAGAGAGAGAGAGAGAGAGAGAGAGAGAGAGAGAGAGAGAGTCACGTTAAAGCCCCGTACACTTCCCCAATGGCTGCTCCATCCGGGCTTTGAGCCGCCGCTGCAGTACACCTCCCTCACCGCGGGGTGGCCAAAGTTTTTTCAACATCGGTAAGTGGATAATGTGAAATGTGTTAAGAAAATACAAATACAAATACATGAGACTTTAAATGTCTAGCCTACAAGTGAATATGTGATATGTGTTAAGAGAATACAAATAAAAATACACGAGACTTTTAATGTCTAGCCTACAAGTGAATATGTGATATGTCTTAAGAAAATACACCTGCTTGCTATAGCACGTCATCTGATACTGTTTCATTGGAAAGATCCTAAGCCTCCTTTCCCATGCCAGGTGGATGAAGGAAGTCATGTTCAATTTAAAACTAGAAAAGATTAAAATGCAATGAGGGGGAAAAAAGGCTGAGTTCAGTAAAATGTGGTTTCCATTCATAGCCTATTTCACTACTGTTACTGGGATAACTCATTGGAATGACACAGCACTCTTATAATAATAGGAGCAGCTGCAAATGCCTGGATTATTTGTGTTCACTAACTGTATGTGGATAAATGTATGTATACATGAGACTTTAAATGTCTAGCCTACTTATTACTCTAATTGAAAAATGTGTTTTTTTTTTTTTTTTGGTATATCTGTGGTAGTAAAGATAAAGATAAAGATAAACTTTATTGATCCCCCATGGGAGAAATTTGTGCATTACAGCAGCTCAAGAAAACAGGGGACGGGAATATAATTAATTAAAAATAAAAATAGAAGTTAAAAATCAAATCAAACATATCAGTTCAATAAAAAAATACAATAATGGAAAATTACACAGGAACTACACTGGAAAGAGTTATTGTTATTAAACAACGCCAGAGGGCTGTCAGTAGATTCTGTTTTATTTGAGGCAGTGTCTTAATATCAACAGTCTATGGACAGTGCTCATGTGATAGGCTGCTTAATGGATGTTAAATGACTACTTAAAATTAAAGTTCGCACACTTAGATATCGTCAGTCAAATCCTTCATTTTGTTAAAGTTCCACTTGAATCCAGCTCTTTTCTGGAATTAAAACATAGCCAGTGAAATTGTCAATAATAATAGCCTATATGTTTTATAGGACATCTATTGTAAAGTTGACACGTGGGCTAACTGTGTGATTTCAGGTATACAGTTTCTAAGTAGAAAAATATAGATTGAAACATAAAATCTCAGTATAATCCATCAGTTATTACTCTCTATTACCACGTGGAGGCAGCAAAGATGCATTTACAATTCCCCTAAACTCTGTCAAAGGTCAACCTTTGTACTTGTGTCTTTATAGCTTCACGTTTTCTCATCCTCAAGCCGGACAGAGAAATTACTTTACAATTTGTGTTGAGGGACGTGACAGAATTTTGAGTTTACAGTCATAATGTGCAAAATGTTAAATTTTTATCTTTCAATAAAATTCTAATTCAATTTTAATAAAGGCAAATAAAATCATACAAAAACAAAGACTAAAGGGGGGGACCATCAAGTTTTGAAGGTTGTTGTTTGATGGATTATTTTACACATTTAAATACTAAATACAATCACCTTCCATCTTAATCAAACAAATCCAAGCGCTTAGGACGGTCCAGTTGGCCCATGAGGATAAAAACACACAAAAGAGTGAATGACAAGAGTCAGCACTAATAAGATGGCAAAAGAGACACCTTTTTATAGTACTTTTTAAGGTCAAAATGTCTTTGTTATATGACATTAAGTCTTTGCTTTTGTGGAAATCCAATAATTCACATAAGAAAGAGCAACACGGGTTTCCAGCAATCTTGAAAAAATATAGGTTTAAATTATTTTATTTTTGTTTATGCTTAATAGTTACCCAGTGCTTAATGGTAGTTTTTAAATCCCTACAACATCTCTTCAACAGTCATATTTGTTGATTGGCCATAGGGTTCTACTTAAATGCATTACATGGTTAGAGGCGGAGCTAAATGGCATGTTCAGGCTCTCATTCATTCAAGCATCAATGAGCAAACATTCTGGCATTTGGTGGCTTTTCTGGAAAGCAGTCTCCTGTAGGCTGCTGTGCAGGCCCCCCGCAGCTGATCATATTATTTCAGCAGTGTGTTGCACTCACCTTCAGTGTGTGCTCCACTATGGACCGCAAAAGGGATGACTGGAACAGGACAAGAAGGGAGAGGAAGAACCACATGCCAGAGAATGATGGATGACAGGAGTACTGTGCTGCACATCCTCGAGGATCCTCAAATGAGGAGGGAAGGGGAGAGGATTCGAACTTTTCACAACTGGCCAGCAGATGCTCCTGTAACATCTGGAGAGCTGGCCAAGGCAGGCTTCTTCTTCCTTGGTTCTGGGGATAAAGTCCAATGTTTCTGCTGTGGAGGGATTTTAAGATGTTGGGTGCACGGGGACAGCCCAGCCATCGAGCACCAGAGGCATTTCCCCACTTGTCATTTTATCCTGGGTCGAGCTGTAGGAAATATTCCACTTCAAACGGGATCCTCCGATTCTGTAGATGGACAGCTGTTGAGTCAGCTCCAGAGGATGACTATGGACGACCAGGGGACAGCTGGACAAGCTGTTTACCCAGAGATGGACACGGAAGAATCCCGGCTTACTACTTTCCACAACTGGCCCACCGAGGCCTCAGTCCAGCCAGATGTCCTTGTCAGAGCCGGATTTTTCTATACAGGTGCTTATAGTCTCACTGTAAAGTTTCTTAAATGCAATTTGCTTTGAGCAACATTTGAGCATATTTCAGTAAAATATTCAGCACTGACCCAGTCCCAACTGGAGTGACCTCTCATTGTGAGAGTTCATGGTTGATTCAATTGTACTGCTGACTCATGATGTTGTGGACAGAACAACCTGGACAAAGCTGGGGCTGCTACAGAAGTATGGATCCACAGCTTCAGGCAACACACAGGCTATATGCATAGTATTATTAATTCCTACACTTAAACAATAGACCAATCATCATCATAAAGAAAGAGCTAAGAACAATGAACACTAGCAGCAAAAACAGATGTTTCAGGGTGAAGGAGGCTTTTTAGCAACATGACTTTGTCGACGTTTTTAGCATTTCCACTGTCACATAGCCGTCTGAAAAAGGCTTTTTTTCCTACTTCCAGAATAGTCTCTAGTTTTTTCCCCCCAATTGAATTTCTGTGTTCTTAACCAAAGTGCACCTTCACACACTTTGTTTCAACTTCTAAGCATTCCAGGCTCCCTATTTCCAACCCTACATTGAGCTAAGTTTATGTGAAGTTTGAGATAAATGCCTTTTAAAATTCACCCAAATAGCCATTTTCCCTATCAAGGATAAAATGAATTAAGAGTTTCCCTGTGCTCAGATGTAAAGATGTTCAGATGCACCTGTAGTTTTCACTGCAGTTCTGTTCATCCCGACAGGTCATGGTGACAACGTCAAGTGCTTCTACTGTGATGGGGGGCTGAGGAACTGGGAGCCGGGAGACGACCCCTGGCAGGAACATGCCAAGTGGTTTCCACGGTAACTGCAGAGAGTGTCACTAGGCATAGAATGACATTGTTGAAATAGTTGAAAATATCTGTTTTTTACAAACAACATTTAGTGTCAAGTTATTCTGTGTTCTGCATTCTTTGCTGTAGCTGATCATAAACCGATGTCTCCCCCTTTCTCAGATGTGAGTTTTTAATCCAGTCGAGAGGGCAGGACTATATCAGCAACATCCAGGATGCTCACTTCCACCTGGGTGAGACTGTGGTGAGAGCCTTTCATCCCTCTTATCTGCTCAGAATAGAATCTGTTTGGCACATTATATCGCACGCTGACAAATGACAGTTTTGACACTTTGCTGCATGCAAAACCACTCATGACTTTCACTGTGAATATAAAATATGATTTCAGGGTGGATCCCAGAGCTCCATGGGTAGAGATGTTGGATCAAGAAATGGTAAGTCACATAAAAACTGAAACAAGGCAGTGAATAATACACACATACCAGGAACTTTAGTCATCTTAATTCATACCAAGTAGACCTTGATAACAATGTATCAGTATGCTTCATCTCTATTTATCCTGCAACACAATGAGTCACTTTTCACCCCTTTTGATCACACAAAAAGGGAAAGGTTGAGCAAAGCTTAGTGGTTGCATTGCAGGTAATATATTCAGAGAAATTAAGCAACCGGTTGATTCTATTATCCTTAGATATGCCTGAGTGGAAAATTCTGTTGATAACAATACACATTTCCAAAGTAGACACTAATACGACTCTTTGGAATAAAGCAGGTCCATCACTTTTCTTTGCAAGTCTGCAAAAAATGAAATAACTACATGCCCAATTACCTGAGCTAGTGTTTGCTATAGGCTTCTGTTCCTGGCTGAAGTCATTGAAGTCATGCGAGAGCAATTACTCCTTACAATGAAGGAATCACAATTACAATCCATTTATAATCCAACAAATAATTGCTCTGTCATTTATGCCCCCAAGCAATGAATAGGTAGCTCCTTGTGTCTATAACTTCTATTAATATTCATTGTATTTTCTTTGATGGTCAGTTCCTTCAATGGTCACCGGGCTCGTCTCCTTCTCTCATCCCCCAGATATGGTCGGAGGTCTGGCAACCTCCTCTGCCATGCTGTCTCCTGTGGTGCAGACAGTGCTGCAGATGGGCTTTGAAGCCAGCCTGGTGGAGAGTTTGGTCCAGACCAAGTACCTTCTGACCGGCCAGCACTACACCTCTGTGTCTAACCTGGTCACTGATGTGCTGCAGGCAGAGCAGGAGGAAAGAGAGAGGGGGCAACAGAGCAGAGGTCACATTGTCAAAGTCCCCAGTAGTCACAATTCACTTACAGATGGTGTTAGCAGTATATGAACTGATGTTTTCCACATTTGTTTCCTTTAGAGCCTGAGACAAGGCAGGGTACAAGTGCAGGAAATGCGAGGACACAAACCCCCATCAGAGAAAGAGGTCAGTTTTGTTTTTGCTTTCATAGACTTTTAAAATGGGTTTCTTGTCTAGATAGGTAAGCTTATACGTAATAACAGTGTGTTCATCTTTTTTGTTTGTGTGTTTTCTTGATCAGTAAAGGACCCGAGTCCAGAGGAGCTGCTCAGGCAGCTGCAAGAAGAGAGGACGTGTAAGGTATGCATGGACAAACTGGTGTCCATCGTCTTCATCCCCTGTGGACATCTGGTGGTGTGTGGAGACTGTGCTGCTAGCCTGCGTCACTGCCCCATCTGCAGAGCTGTGATCAGAGGCAGTGTGCGAGCGTTCATGTCCTGAGGCTGACGTGAGAAGAAACTGACAGACAGTTGTTGAAGGAGTGACATTACGTTTCCCTCTATGCTTATTTACCCATGTTATTATTGAATAAAATAATGATCATGTTGGTTGCTTGTCTTGTCGGAGTTTATATTTTTTTTTTAAAAGCTACTCAAAATGAGTTTTGCTTCAAATATTTGTTTGCAATTCACAATTGGCACACATGACTTGTCCTACTGAATGACACACGATCAGTGAAAGATCACACATTCTTTTATTAACAAACACCTATTTACATGACCACAAAGCACAATTCTGGATAAATAGCATAAAACAATCAGGTCACATGGAGTTGGGGTGACAAACACAAAAAAAAAAAGAACTAAGAAAAAAAAGTTATTCCTACATTCTATACAAATTATATGAATCCACAAACAGGTGAACATTTTTCAGTGGGACTAGCATACACATACACACAAGTGTAACAGGTTCAACTAATTCCAGTTCACAGGGCTTTAGAAGGAGGCTGTATTGCACTCAGAGGAAGACTTGTTTTGACATGACATTTGCAGTGGCATTTGCTACTAATACTGATAAAGTTAAAATATGAGGTGCTTTGTGTTTACAGAAACGCACACACCATGAGGCCTTTAAGAAGTGTGTAAACTTTAAATTATAAAAACAATTATGGCATTTTCATTATTGCATCTTGCCAACAGAGAGGTGATCAAACCAAAAACTACTTCCCTCTCATATTTCTGAAATTAGCCAGCAAAATTGGTGAGGTGATTTTCAGAGTCACGACAGATTGATACTTGTTATGTGGCAGTGAAGAACTTTTACTATCACATAGGCAACAAACGTTCTTTAGAGTATTCTTAGGTTTCTGACAAACTGACCAAACAGGACAAGAATAAACAGAAAAAATAAAGAAGCTAGGCATACATTTTTAAACTTAGCACTTTAGTCAAGGCAACATACTAAACATCCTGGATTTATGTGTAGTGGCTTAAAAAGCTCTTATTCTTAATTTAGACAATAACTGACTGGCTAGCCGGTGAAACTCTTCTGGCAAAGAAGAAAAATAAGGAACAATTTGGAAGATTTATGAAAAACGCACACCTGTATAAGCCTTGTAACTTGTGCATGAACGCTCTGAGCACCAGAGGGCAGTAGTGATTCACACAAGTAAGTAAGGCGACGGTACACATTTAAACAGGCTTCAGGTCTGAAAGATCTCACACAAACTAAAAAGTACATACAAAGTGCTACTGTATCAACAAGTATAGGAGATATGACCCACATGTTGTAAAGCTCACCCTAAGCAGAGATGTGTTTTTTCATTGCCGGGGTCAGAATAACATCGATTTGAGTAAGCAATTTTCAGCTACTTTTTCCACCAGCTCACATACAGACATCAGTTTTGCTATTTAGTCATTGCTTAATATGTTATACACATAATTACAATACAAACCCTGTAAAAAACATGCTATAAAACAATCACGACTGAGACTCTTCACCACTGAGAATCGAGACAGACAGGAGGACACAGCTCTGGTTCACTCAGGTACAGCCATGCTACTTCTACACAGAAGACCAGACAACCCGACACTGTTGTGTGCAATGTGAATAGAAAAAAAAAAAAAAAAAAAAAAAAAAAAAAAACTTCTATCATTTTCTTGAAGTTAAAAATATGCTGTGTAATCTTTTGCTTGAGTGTGTGTGTGTGTGTGTGTGTGTAATGATCACCCTCCATCAGCAGCCCGGTGTGTCAGTAGTTACAGAAGAAGAGCTGAAGTTGAAACAAAAGCTTTCAGCTCGTCTTCTACCGAAACATCAGACACTTCACAGACACTGACTGGTGGTGAAAATAGTCACAATTACAGAATTTACAGAAATAAAAAGGTTTTTTTGCACGCTTTTGCATTTATGATAGTTCACATTTCAACTCTAAATCTAACAGTCCTCCTTCGCTCTTGTTCCATTATTTACATTTTCTATTTTTGATGCCTTCCCCCTGTAGGTTTGGTGCTTTTGTCCCCCCCCCCCCCCTTCCATCCTCTACCTCTCCACTCCCCAGCCTCTTCCTGCATTGCTGGTGTATTTATGCGCACAGATCCTGGCCTAAAGTAAACAGGCAGCGCACAATGGCTCATTCCGCAGACTGCACTGTAATTCAGCCCTCCGGCCAAGATCTGAGCCAAACCAGCAATAACATGCTAAATCACCGAGACCTCTAAGACGCAGCACCACAGAGCGGGAATGCTGGGTAGTCCCTGATTACATACACTATGTATTTATATACTGTACACGCTCTATACAGTCATATTCTCGGGGAAAACTTAGAGCATTGCAGGCAGGTCACAGCGATGGGAACTCAATACAAAGAAAATGAGTAATACTTCCCTAAATACAAAATATGAGGCTTTGTTTCACTGTAATCCCCTCATTCCTGAACCCATTATGGAAAACAATGGACTCTTACTGAGGACTGTTGGGTTTTTTTTCTCGGCAGCACACCAGTAAATGACATGTTTAAAGGACTGAAATCAAGAGGAGGTGGAATGTCTGTAGTGCCCCCCCCCCCCCCCTGTGCACTGGGATGTTTGTGTCAAAACAGCCATTTTGTCTCCGTGGGAACTTGCTGTGTCACCTCCCCGCTGGACGCTCTCTCTTCTATTTACGTAGACCTGCACAGAACAGAAACATGGACAGAAAGTTAGAGGTTTTCACACACACACACACACACACACACACACACACACACACACACACACACACACACACACACACACACACACACACACACACACACACACACACACACACACACACACACACACACACACACACACACACACACACACACACACACACACACACACACACACACACACACACACACACCTCCCTGGATGCATTTCTCCAAGATATAACTCCCACTAGATTGGGGAGGGGAAAACGTCCTCCCTCCCATTAGAGACGGAGCTGATTAAACTGTCAAGGAGCTAATCAAATATTCATGTCATGTTGGCAGAGAATTATAACCTGACTTCACGGGCTTATTGTTATTAAGTCCTCTCCACAACCTAAAAGATTAATCCAATTTTGGACAGATTTTTTGTAGGTTTTTCTCCATGTGAACCTACCAGTTGCTGCCTGGGGTATTTGAAACCGCATGTACACTACAGGCATAAACAAAAAAAAACAGTGTCATTAAAAGGTCTGCATATTCTCCCTGAAGCTCTCCGACAGGATGCAGCATGTTTCAGAGAAGTTTACTCCCATGACATGACTCAAATCTCCCAAGGTGAGCCAGCAAGCGTCAGCCAAACGTCTGATAGTTTGTGCAGTTTTGTAATACACAGATTATAAAACTCGGGACCGATGTGGTAATTGTGTTTAAAATAACAATTTAACAGACGGCTGCTTAAGATACAAATGTCTTCTCATTACTTCTTCATAACTCTTTGTGTCTGTTTTTTAAATGAGACGTGTGATTTGATATGATTTTAGTTGTTTTTGGTGGTTCCTCCTCCTGAAATTCTACTGGAACATATCTGATAAGCAGCATATCACTGATTGTTCCCAGATACGAAGTGCTTGAGTACTGACTAGTTTCTCCCTAAAAAGTAAGTCTTGTTTTTATTTGTCTGCAGTTTGAGGAGTTTAACTGTGAACAGGAAACGATTACATGCAGGGAACAAACAGCAACAACTTGAAATCAAACATGATTAACATGAATATTTGGATGAAATGTGTACAGTGCATGAATATGCTCTTAAAAAGGTGCCCGTAAACATATGGTGGTATGACAGCACACTCATACTTACAGGTACATGGGCTTTAAGAGGAGATGAGATGGTTTCTCATTGACATGGTAGAGTGGGAATGGGTCAAATCCACCAATAAAATCAACTGAAAACAAAGGATTCAAAACATAAATTATGGAGTAAATCAAAAGACAAAAACAAAATAAGACACTGAAGTAAACAATGAAACGATAAATATGAGCTTGTATAAGAAATGAAATGGAAAAACAGATGAAGTGTGGAAGATGTGATGTTGCAGGTTTTAAAGGGAGGCAGCTTGCAAAGAACAGTAAAAGTGTTTTATCTTGTGTTTCAACTTTGAAAGGTAAACAAAAAAAACAGGATGAAGAAAAAAAACACAGCTCTGCTCTGCTCAAACTTTTTTTTTTTTTCCCATCTGTGTATCCGCCTGCAGCCAGAGGGGAACAGGTGAAAGCTGGCCAGCTGTCAAAATAGCCGAAGCCCTTTTTTATCGCTCAGAAACAGAGGTGACCTTCAGCCATTGGGCAGAGCTCGCACTACCTCCTTCTGTTTACTTTCACACTCATGAGTTCAGGCTCTTGGGGAGGCGGAGATGAGCAAAAGGGTGTCATGTACGAGGAGAAAGTGAGGCGACCAAATTGATGCTTCTATTTTTGAAAAAGATTTAGATTTTTTTTTGAGATGAAGGGGGACTCTCGAGAGAACACAAAGGCTGAGGAGGGAGAGAGAGAGAGAGGGGTGTGTGTGTGTGTGTGTGTGTGTGTGTGTGTGTGTGTGTGTGTGTGTGTGTGTGTGTGTGTGTGTGTGTGTCATGCTTGTCGGTCTGACTGACAGGGGGCCAAAGAGATTAGGCTTCAGGGGCTCATGTGAAAGAGGCCAGCATGCCCAGGAGCTATCTGTAAACATCACGTGAGGCTGAGATCGAAGCTGATTCAAGGGGAAAAAGGAACCGCATAAACATTCAGGGGGATGGACAAAAGTGGAAAAATAGGCAGATCTGTTACTTTGGGGAGAAAACAGAGAAACGCCAGCCACGGAAACTACTGTAAGGCCAAATCAGTTCCATCCTGATAAGAGGAGTCAGCGGTGGTCTGCTGAATACTGATATGTAGACAGGATGAGTGAAGAGAGCCACAGGGTGTTCAGAGAGAGAGAGTGTGTGTGTGTGTGTGTGTGTGTGTGTGTTTGACCCTGCCCTGGTTTCCTGATATTCTCCATTTCATCTCCACACACACACACACACACACACAAAGACCTTATTTGCTGATCTGTTCTGTACCAGTGCGTTCCTATTATAAGCAGGTGGGGACCAGTCACCCTCCCTGATAAACTGTGCTAATAAATACAGTCAGATGATTATGATGGCGGCCATTTTTAGACACACTGGCAGCTCTGGGGAAGGCGGTGTGGTGCACCGGACCATCCTTCAGCCTGTCAATCCAAACCCTTTGGTTTACGGAGTGAAGTACTGTGACAAATTTTGCACAGTTCAAATGTGAAATGTGGCACATCTTTTCAGAATCTCTCGAGTGTGAAATATATCGACTGGTGGTTTAAGCTAGCACCAAAAATAGGTCAAAATTTCCATTTCTGAAAGGACATCTTGAAATTAAAAGCCGAATTCCTGTCCCTCGTGCTTCTTGGGCAGCACTCAAAGGAGAGCAATTTCAGAATTTCGTAATTACAACAGGAGACCACAACGTCTTATTATAAAGGTGCTCACTTTTATAACCGTGTGCTCCTTCCCGCCTACATACTCTAAAGACAGCCTGTTAATTTACACTTTCAACTCTCACACTCTCCTAAAAATCTTTACAAGCAACGGTCTAACTCTGACACTGAGCCTCCATTGTCGCAATGAACAATAAGTGACGTTTAATGTTAGTTGTTATGTGGTTGAAAATGTTCGAGACTTTCTAAAGCTCAATTTAAAAAGCATACATCACATAGAAGAAATGAATATTAAAAGCTGCTTAGAGGAAATGCTGGAAAGCTGCAGGCTCAAATGGCCTGTTCATTCTTGGAAGATGGCCCAAGCACTCCTCTTAATGTTTGGCATTTTCATGGTGGCTGGCACTCTTTTAAAAGCTCATACCCGGTGAAAATTTAACTTACAGCATGAAAACAGTGTACTCAATTTGTCCTCTCTGGGACGGTTAGTGCCTTTTGAAACAGATATTGGCAGTCGATGTGCGTGTGTGATCCTGTAACACTGAATAGGGGGGAGGTCAGTTTCTTTCAAGCAGAGGAGACGTGCTGATTTTTACTTGTGTGGACACTTTCAAGAAATGAAAGGTATGTAGGTCAATACTTGAGACATTTATGTGGTGCCCCCTTTAACAAGCAATGAGTAATGCAATATGATAATGTTTCAGGTTAAGTGGAAACTGAGTGAAATCACAGGACCTGTGTTGAACCCAGAGAAAAACTCATATATAGCTGAATCTTCCACCGTGTGTGTGTGTGTGTGTATGTGTATGTGTATGTGTGTGTGCGAGTGTGAGAAAGGGTTGGTGTGGACAGAGACATGAAACACAGACGCAGAGATAAAAGCAAAAATAAAAGCCAGGAGGGAAACACAGGGCGAGAATAAAAGAGCACAGTGTGAGGAAGATCGAGAAAAACAAGGGGAGACAGGGCAGAGACAAAGAGAGGGAGAGATAAAGGGTAGACAGTTCAAGACTTCAGAGCCTGTCTGTTAAGCTACAAATGGTAAGAAACCATACAAAGCTGTACTCTCTCTCTCTCTCTCTCTGCCTCACACACTGGATATGTAAGGGAGTTTTTCATAGTTGGCTCCGCTCTGCAGCACTGCATCTCCATCCTCACACACCATTACACAGCCATCATTGCTTTATGTGCTACTAAACTATTTCAGCTGATTTAATGCACAGTTATTTTGCATATGAAAACTTCAGGTGTGTTTGACGGAGAGTGTGTTAAAGTTAATAATCCATTAAAAAAAAAAAAAAAAGAGAACAGCTCCGGAGTGGACTAGGGGACTGGGAAGAGTTTATTTTAGGACACAGATTTAGAAAATATGGTTTATTTTATTTTATTGGTTGTAAGTCATTATTCTTTTGGTTAAAGCATCAGCTGGTTTTTTATTTTAAAAACAAAAGACAAACAGCAACCATCTTTTTATTCTATGTCATGTATAATCATGCGTGCACTGAACCAGTCATAATGTCCTTTCTCCATCGTTTATATGATAAATAAAACAAAGCTTGGAATGTGTTTTTTTTAAATGCTGGTTAGAAAAAAAAAACTAGCAGGTGAGACGGGAAGCTGTCAGTCATCCTAGCTACAGTCTGGTGCTAATCAAGCAGCGCATGTGAAAACACCTGTGTGGGTGATTTGTCAGAGACTTTCACGCAAACAAATATCAACAAACACTAGGATGTAAAAAGTCACACAATCAGTGTTTTTCCAAGTGATGTCTGCCACTTTTAGATTTTTCGATTAGCTATTATTTTAAAACCATCTTCCCTTATTATGTGGATTTCATTTTTATTACAAGAAGAAAAAATAATTTGGAAAAAAAAGGCCTATTCAAAAGCAGACAACTTGTCATAGTTCTATTTAAGTGTCACATTGGGCAATTGTAGTAACTGTGATTCAGTATTTGGACCCCTGAGGACAAAATGACTGTTGTTAAATCTGACAATCTGATATACAGAGGACTCATGTTCTGTCATCAGCATTTACCCTTCTGTAAAAAGCCCTGATAGCTGTAGTTAGCTCCTAGTGATCAATACTTTTTCAGACAAATTCAGACTTCAGAACTCAATAGGAGAGGGGGGGGGGGGTTACCACATGAAACAAAAGTTGCCAGCTGGAATGTTAACAGCAACATTTCAGGGAAAGATTTATTCAAGGGAAAGAAGATGCTTCTTGCCGATACATTTAATCATCTAAATATCGTACAGGTGCTCCACAAGGCTTGGGATAGACCAGCCTGGGGAGTATGTGCATCTTGGTTTACATGCGGCTTGATTGGGTTTGTACTACTGTGGAGGCAGCCAAATGTGTACAACACTAGACAAATATCCCTATGATATCGCATCAAAATATGGAGAAAATGCTTCATTTCCTGGCCCCTGTTGAAGAAGCCTTTGAAATGAGACGACACACAACACTGCAACACATTCAGTTTTCAAATTCAGCCTTTGAAGGATCCTTAACTGAGACACAGCCAGTGTGACGGTGAGCCAACATGCACAATAGGAGGGCCCTGAAGTCTAAGCGGCTAAATGGAATTTAGCCACCATTCATTCTTGTATTCACACCTGTGCTTTTTTGCTCAACTGCAATGTCATGATGTGTCCAAGAAAAAGAACTCATTCACAGTCAATGTTTGAAGTTATTCTAAACAGTATTTAGTTTTATTTTAACCTTTCACCCCCATATTTTTTTTTTTACCACCTGCAGACACACTGCCACCCAGAGATCTAACCAGCCCTCCAGTTTCTCCGTCTGCTGCTGCTGCGGAGGATTTTCTGGGGATGTGACTCAGCACAGAGGGCGGCGGCATAATTAGCAGACATGCTAAAGCGAGCTTATCCCGGCGCTAGGCTTCTAACTCCATGACCTACTTTACAAAGAGGATTTTCCCCACCACTCACTCAGTCGGTGTGTCTGCTCACCACCGATAACCGTGTAACAACTTTTGTAACAAATGAACACACACACATATACGCAAACACATGCACACTACAACACCAATACACACTATTACATGCTGCTCCTTGTGGGGACAGGAGTGCACGTACACGCTAAGAGTAGTACAATTGAGTTACAAGAGGCATGAGGAGGGGAATCTCTCACACACACACACACACACACACACACACACACACACACACACACACACACACACACACACACACACACACACACACACACACACACACACACACACACACACACACACACACACACACACAGCCATGTCAAACTGAGCTGATAGTATATGATACTTGTTATTCTGCCCATTTTGTCTTCTTTGCTTCTTACGAGTGTGTGTGAACGTGTTTCATTCAGCTATTCTTCACGCAAGCTTGAGTACTCAAATCTAACTCATCCGTCTCCCTTGAGAGGGAGAGGGGGCTTGGAGAGAGAGGAATCCTGTCTTATCTCCATATTTGTCTAAAGCCCATCTTGTCTCGTGTTGTTTGTTCTGACATTTTTTTCCCCATTTCCTCGCCCCCCCTCCTCAGCTTGCTCCTCACGAACGCCTTCTTCCCAATTTCCCTCATCTATGTCCCATCTAGAAGTCTCTCCTGAGGTTTCATCCTACCTTTCTTCTCTTGGCGAGACTCAATCAACTGTGAAAGTTATTGACCAGCACGGTGCTTAATGAGGCTGACACAACGAGTGACCAGAGACCTCTCACTTTTTACAAGCACACCTCATTAAAGCTGGAGCTTGGAGAGGGGACAGAGAGATTGCTTAAACACACCGAAATTGGATTCTGACACATGGTTTTCCCATCTATGTGGCGAAACGGGAACAGAACTAAAGCCTGCGAGAGGAGAGGGAAGAGTTCAGAGTAGGAGGAGAGATGCTGAGGCAGCCAGGGAGCCAGATTCAAAAACCTGCTTTAATCTTCACATCAAATGAGAGGGGGGAAATGAGAGCAGCAAAGTGCCTTGGCTGCTTTTTTGTGTTGCTACCAGTGTGCGTGTGTGTGTGTGTGTGTGTGTGCGTGTCTCTGCACCTGTGCCTTCATGACCACAGACACGTGTATGTGTTTGTGCAGGCAAAGGGCTGATTACAATAACAAAGGGCTAGCAGTTGGAAGGGATGTAGCAGCGCTCTCCTTCCAGCACAGCGAGGATCAGAGAACAACCAGATAATTAAAACCAATAAAAATTAACATGTTCCCTTTCCACACAAAGTTCTCTTTCATCAACCTTTTCCTTGAAGCTTTCTTTGTTGTTTTTATCTTTGTTTTGTTGTGCAGATTACCTTTCACTATGAGCTTAAACTAACTCAAAGCACAAATGTTACAGAAACACACAGAAAAGGAATAATCATTGAGGAAGAATACTTTGTTTATTGGACACTAATGCTGAATGGTGATTAACTGGTACTGCCCAGCACCAAGGGGCACGGGGGTGGGGTGGGGTGGGGTGGGGAAGGGGGGGCAGCATTTTGGTGGTGTTTCTAGCCTCTCACAGTCAGTGACTCTCTGGTATGTGACCAGCAAAGAGCTGCTGTGACTTCTACAGCAGGAACACGCACAGAAACCAAATCACCAAAATTACACGAGGGGCCTGTTTGATGTGGAATAAGTGCATGTAGTGCTTTGTTCATTGCTCTTGTTTTTAAATCCAATTAGAGCTCTGGTTTTGTATGTAAGGGACTAAATGATTGCACTAAGGTTAGGTAATTATCATTTCAACAAGCACATGTATGAATGCCTGAGAAACTCATTTTAATCTTAGCTAATCCTCACTGAGAGATCGTGCTCATTACGCTTGAATTTACAAGGCCAGTCCGAATTCTCCCGCATGTGGAAATCACTTCACATGCTGGAGAGTCACTGCACTGCCAAATTAGATATTTATGACTCCCACTGACTCCTTAGATCAAATGTTTCCTGTCCTCTGATTGGCTAACCTCCAGCATGGCCTCTGACCTGCTGCCTATGAGGTCACAGCAGCTGAGTCATTTATCAAGTGTGTGTCTCCTTCTTCTCCAATGACCCACTTCAAGGTCCCCCGTCACGTCTTCCACTCATTTGACTCACTCTCTTAGTCTTTTCACACATGTACAAAACTCCTGAACACACAAAAATGTGTGAATGAGAAATTTTAAAAAATCATTTATATTATGTCACCATTAAGCAACCAGCGCGATCAAACTAACAAAGCTACTTCAGACACTTGTCTGCTTACCAGAATGTTTTTGTTTTGGGGTGAGCTGCATGTGTGAATGCAAACAGACAAAATTGACATTCTGACTTTTTCCTGGAAATCCCCAGCTGTGAGGATCATGTGTGATCGAGGAACACAAGAGGATTTAAGGGACAGGCTGTCCTGAGAATTAGCGTGAAAGTGTGTAAAAGCCTTCGGTCTGCCTTATAATGGGCTTGCTTTCAAGGCTAACTCCTGCCCTCATTTGACACCATATTACAGGTTCAACCCAGACCAATATACAGAAGCTGGAGTACTAAGATCAAACACTAGGAGCCACCACAAGAGAAGAACATGTAATGCAAAATGAGGGAAGGTGAGTGTTTGTGAAAGAGTCAGGGGAGGTCAAATCCTGCTGCATACACACACACACACACACACACACACACACACACACACACACACACACACACACACACACACACACACACACACACACACACACACACACACACACACACACACACACACACACACACACACACACACACACACACACACACACACACACACACACACACACACACACACACACACACACACACACACACACACACACACACACACACACACACACACACACACACACACACACACACACACACACACACACACACACACACACACACACACACACACACACACACACACACACACACCAGCAAGGCAGCAGACAGCTGGAGCAACAAACAAGGGGCACATGGAGAGAAGAAAGTGAGAAAAGTGAAAACCAGAGTGCATTAAAAGGAGGTGAGTAACAGGTTTACAACAACAGCGAGGACGACCACACAGACGAGACAAGGAAGGGAGACAAGGCGGGAGAGTATGCCCGACAGAGAAAAGAAAGAATAGACTGAAGGAGATCTGGAGAGGGAACACATGGCTCCTTTGGTTCTGGAGGGAGTCAGAGAGTGAGAGGGGGCCCAGCTGGAGTGGGGGAGGAGAGAGAGGAGGGGAGACAGGGGAGAGTTGGAGCAGCGATAGTGAGGGGTGAGGTAGGAGGAGAGGGAGATGAAGAAAGATGCAGCCTTGTTCTCTTCAATTCAGGAGTTTTTCCCTCCGTGTGAATGGGCCTGAATGGTTGCTATACTGTTTTTCAGGAATCATTGTGTGTGTGTGTGTGTGTGTGTGTGTGTGTGTGTGTGTGTAAGGGTGAGGTTAAATGACTCACAGCTGTCCTCCTCCTCGGTGATAGCGCTGACAACATAACAGGCGTACACGAAGCCCAGGAGCTGTGAACACACAAGCAAACAGGAAAGGTTAGACTCTACATAGCCGACAGTGTGCGGTGTGATAAACAGCTGTGTATTAGCTTTGATGGAGAAACAGATCACACGGAACATCTGGAAAAGAGCCACAAACACTCCAACTGAGAGCTGGGCGGATGTGTGAATGAAGAAACACTGTGAAAAGAACACCACTCTTGAGAGCTGGAGCCGTTAGCTGATTATTTGATAGAAATTTTGCCACTAACAATTTAAATAATCAGGGTATAATTTCAGCCATTCATCAGCTTTTCAAATGTAAATATTTCTCTATTTGACAAAAAGAGAAGTGAATATCATTAATATCTGGCCAAAACAAGCAATAAAAAGATCTCACCATGTATCGGGGAAGTCATTTTACGACATTCAATAGTGCAACCAATTAACCAATTGAACAAAAAGCTGTCTTAAAGCAGCTCAGTCACGGTACAGTTGTCACAGTTTGGTGCACGCAGTCATATAAAGAATAAGTCTAAAAGAGTGTGTGTGTGTGTGTGTGTGTGTGTGTGTGTGTGTGTGGCAGTAGTGCACATAAGAACTGATTGAGAACCACCATTAAAAGGTGCTGCTCTGAACGAGATGTTACGAGAACTTTGACGTCATGTTCTGCCGGCATATTTGAGCAAAGCATGGAGCAAAGGTGCAGGACACTTCAATAACCCTGTGAGAAGGCCAATGAGAGGAAGTGGGAACATGGGGGGGGGGGGGGGGGGCTTAAAGAGACAGCTGAAATGAACCGTTTTAGGAAGAGGCTGTAATGAGGGATTTTACTGAAGCCAGTATCAGATAAATAAGGAGGTTTTTGAGCAACACATCTTGCAAAGTTACTCAATATGTTAAGCAGACTGATATAATTAATGGTGAAAGTGAGTATATTGGAGCTCCTTTGAGCAACAAATGGGGGAGATTGAAAAGATGCAATACAAGACAGGCAGCAGCAAGTTACTATGGCAAATTCAGATGACAAACAGGAGCTTAAAGACCCGTCTGCCTCAGTTTAATCAGCGTCGTGGGGAATCTTTACAGTGGAATACAACAGCAATGGATTTCTAGCTTTCCAGCCTGCACCTTAACTTACTTTGTTTCATGTCACCATTCTTCAGCATCATTTTCAGCCACCGGAGGAATCTTCTAAAAAAAAAAAACCCACTATATTACCTGCCTTACACCAAACAGCAGACAGAAGTTATGAACAACCACCCGAAACATAGTGGGACCGTAAATCCCCTCAGGCGTTGGTGGAGACCAAAATCAAAGCCAGATGGAGAGTGAATATTGAAAGTTAAATATCCAGGCGTCTGGAAACAAAGATGCTAGAGAAAAAATGATTGCGTAAATACAGAAGTGTTCGCTTAAAAGTCAGCCTTGTCAACTGCAAAGGTGTCAGTATTGTGTTCACACCTCTTCTGTGTTTAATGATAATATCTGTGTGGCAAGTGTTTTCCATGATGATGGGGCTAGAATGTACCTCATATGCACAAAAACACCACAATCTCACACTGCGAGTACATAAGTCAGTGTACACCGACACAGTGCTGAGAATAGCCTGTGGAACTGGCAGATGGCTGTCATCGACTCAGAGACAGACACTGAGAGACAGTATCTCCACCCAGCCAGCCAGCCATCCATCCATCAGTTGGCACTTTGCCATGCCAATTAAAGCAGCGTCGGGCCCATTGCCCTATTCGCACACTGGGTACACAAACACAAAACCCAGGGGGGTGACTGTGTGGCGGCGGCTTTTTACACAACATACACTCCACCTTTAACTTAAATCATTAGAGCAACAAAGACGACGCGCAGTTTGTCACACTCTCATCTCTATCATCTGGGGTTTATTGTATTTTTCTACATGTAAAATACGTTCAGTCTGTATTGAAGTTCATCCAGATGTAGATTAAATGTTTTATGTATGAAACTCAGGTGTCTGGTAGAAAAAAGGAACGGGTCGGCGGCTGTGTGGCCTAGATAAGATCCATAACGCTTTCTCATTTTCTCTCTCACTCCATTTCTCTCTCTCTCTCCAGTATCTAATTGCTGCACTCACCCTGTCCATTACTGCAGCGTCAAAATAGAGATGAATTAGCATATGCAAAAAGCCAGAGTCAAACACAAGACGGTGCTAACAGCAGGGGGCACAACGTGATTGCAACTGAATTGTGGGTTTCCCCCTGTAAACGTGTGCACAAAGCATCTGCACATGAGTTAATATTGATGCATGAGTGAACGTTTCATTTTCATAATGGGCTCTGAATGCTGGGGTCTGGGACTGAGTAGAACAGTACAGCTAATATGTCACAGCAGAGGCTATTGAGTGATACAATTGAGTTTCCAAAGACAGGAACAAAATAAAGATTTTTTTTTATTATCTACAGTAAATACATTCTATCACAGCAGCAGAAAAGGAATAAAACATAACAGCAACATAAATCAGAACCTTTGTGTTTCTCCTATCAAAGCATTGTAATGTGAAATCATTATTCTTATGAATATTTATTTCTGTTCATGTTTGCATTTAAGTCCCACCACAGGCTGATCTTGAACCGATTAGTTCCCAGTTTTCTTTTTTCTATGGCTCCAGTACATTTAATGTGATGTACAGCGAGTTGATAAGAGCGGAGAAGTGATCACCGGCTTCTTGCTGGAGGCATTTCTGTCCTTAGCCAATATAGGTCAGTGTTCTCAATAAAAAGTGACAACTCTGCATACACATCCATGTATATTAAATGCTCTTAAATCACGTTCATTAATCCACACGCGCACACACACACACACACACACACACCGAGTAACTCCGCTTTCTTCTCTGACTTCCTCCTGTCACTTCAGGAGTGTAGGGATCATTTTAGAGCCTAATGTCAAATTAATTAAGCTCATAAAGCCCCCGCCTGTCCTTAGAGGCTCGATCTCAGACTGTCTGTGACGACGTGCAAGACTTTAGCTAACTCATTTAGCTGCCAGTCATTTACTGCAATCTGCACTTTTTCTCACTTTTTTTTTTTTTTTTTTTTTTACTTTTTCTCTACATCTCACTATTCACCCTTTTTTGGTGCAGGTTTAACTGTATGTGCTGCCCCTCCTAGCTGTCTGCAGATTGTCTTTTTCTGCAGGTTGTCAAACAGTTATCTGGACAACTGATAAGAAAGCAGGAAGGCAAAAAAGTCGGGCATAAAAAGTTCATTGCTGGATGTGCAAAAACATCAAAAGCAAAGTGTGCCTCTAGTGGGCCTTCATTTACTATTTAGTCTGATGTACAGGAAACTAAATGGGGCTATTTGTGATAGTTCAGCATTATCTGGGCTTTTTTTTCCCTCTCAGATAATGAGGGCGTAAAGTAGTTCAAGGCTCAGTGTGTTCATGTGTGTGAGTGAGCGAGTGAGAAAATGGCCAGCTGCAGAGCTAGAAGAGAAGGTTGCTCGTATTAGCATAGGCTAATGAAGGTCAGGGTGGTAGTGAATGTGCCAGTCCAGAAAGACACAAACACCTCTGACAACGCAGCAGCGCCACAAGCAGCGGTCAATTATACTTGACTGTCTTCGATGATTACAAAGTGCCATTCTTCTCAAATACAATTACAAAAAGTCAGGTTTATATCCAATAAATATTTATAAACAACTTCATCCTTATGGTGAAAAATATTAATTTTTTGTCTAAAATATCAAGTTAATCTACTTATCAGTCAATGGTCAGAAAATGTTATCAACAGTTTCCAGCAAAGATTTGTTGTAGCTGTTTCTCTGGTGACAAGACTGAGACCTAAAAGCTCTTTGAGTCCTTAAGATTCTGAAGTGTGCATGTTAAGAGGCTATACGCTCTGCTCATATGGTGAGGCAGAGCAGATACGAGGTTCACCTTTATCTGCATTCAAAAGCTTATTCAACACATTTTGGAAGTGTTTACCTCATGATGATCCATTGGACTACATTTAATCTTAAAGAGGAAAATAAAGATGCAAACAGAAATGAGATGGCAAATCATTGAATTGATCTCCAAAAACAAAATCACTTCAACCGCCAACCAAGGTCCTTATAGTGACTTGTGAATCAAACTCAAGGTGATCACGAAAGTCGTTTTTAGGAACGAAATCTGGGAAATGTGACTGTCTGCATGAAAATGTCCAACAATGGACGGATCTTGAGATATTTTACAGGATGAGTGTGGTCACTAGGATTCATCTTCTGAGGAACATGAACGTCTGTAAAAAAAAAAAAAAAAAAAAAAACCAACAATAGCAAACAAAATATTTTGATGAGATATTTCTATATGTATCAGACTAACTGACCCAATCTCAGACTGATACAGCCTTCATGTAAAACACTTGTTATACCTGCTGGTTTACTTTGATTTATATTGTAGTAAAAGGAATATTTTTGCATGCAAGATGCCTCCTTGGGTGTGGGAAATGTATTGATTTCTGACATCTAATTTGATACTAATCGTTAATAAGTAACTAACAGATTCATCTGTAATTCAATAACCGTTGATTATGTCTGCCTGTTTTTAAAAATCATTTATACAAATTTACAGACTTTTCCTGTCCACTTCAGTTGTGTGCAGCGATGGACATCTTAGTCGATCTACGAGCACACACACTATCGATCGTGGCTCAGTGTCGGGAGAAAATTCACTAAGTGTAATAAAATGAAAGGAATTGGTGGGTTAAGTACATCACATGGGAGAGCAGGGAAGAGGGGGTTGGTGCCGGTGTCGTGTAGGTTAATTACGCAGGACACTCTGCCTGTCGACATGGCAAAGGCTTCTCTGCACAAAATGAGATGTGTGTGTTTGTGTGTGTGGGCAGCTGCATGTTTTAATGACAAAACATGATGAGATAGGGTCTGCAGAGACCACATCCACCTGTTTTTCTCCTCCACCAGCCCCCCCCTCCTCCAAACAGGAGCATGCACACACACAGATCTATACAGCTTTAATAAGACCACATGGGGTTGTTCAAGTATCTATGGTGCTGATTTGCACTTTCCACATCAAATCACAAAATGCTGATGTCCAAAAAAAACTGGACATAAAGACACTAGATGCAAATCATGCAGAAATATGAACGATGTGAAAACAACCAGAGCACACTCCACAAGCAAGTGTACTAGAAGGTTTACTATTCTTCTAATATAACTTGTTTGCCATGTCTTAGCTCCCCCTTGGTATTCTCTTCCTTTACTCTCCAACTCTCAGAACTTTTAAAAGACCAAATATTAGAGTTAAATTAATCTCGGCAAAATCCATTTCTCTGCAAAACAGTTTAACAATTAAAGCTCTTGGCAGACATCCTTTGAAGTGAAATGTGGGGTGTTCACGTTTTTATGATATGCGGCGAGTAGCCTGACACAATATTCAGTGGCCTGCTGGAGACTAATTCTCTCCTCTGGACTTTGGGATTTTCTCTCCCCCCTCTTATGTGTTCTTTGGCAGAAACCAGCAGGCCTAATAACTGCTCACTACTGCATCGCAAGTCTTTTAATCCAGGGATCTTTATAATCCCTTCAAGCAGATGCTGTAAAACTTACAGAGCAGTTACACAGCAGTGTCAGTGCTGACATATTGCAGAATGGCTTTTTTTTTTTGTTGTTGAGAAAATACATTCTCAACTCCCATTTGAAAGATTCTGGAGAAACTGATGGACTTCAAATATGAAAACATCAAAGGTTCCTGCAGTTGGCTCCCCATGAGAAACATACAAACAGAAGAAAACATCAATTATTATCAATGCTGGCTCTGGTAGTTTGAAAAAAAAAAAAACAACAAAATGGACTTATCAAAGCGAGCACCCTGACCTTTTGGATAAGTGTGGGGGTAGTATGGGTGAGGTGTGGCCTTTCTGTTTTCACGCAGCTGAACTGAGTGAACCTGATGTGCCACAAAACCTGAACCAGACCCTCGAGGTGAACACAGCCCCAAGACCCAATATTAATCCCTATTCACACACATGCACAACACTTAGTAAAAGGGAGAGAGCTGATGTGTGAACACAGCAGGTAACATCCAGGGAAACTCACAGTGGTTTAGTGGGTGGGCTTGCCAGTATGTTCTTCTTCACTCTTGTGCGCAGACTACAAACGTTTAGGTTCAATAACACATGGCTTTTTTTTTTTTTTTTACCAAGGCTCACCTAATGAGACCCCCGCTCCACGCCTGACAGGGATAACATGCTGCTGATAAGGACATTTCAGAACAAGCACCTCTGGGAGACTTTAGAGGCAGGCTGCCTGAAATCTTATAAAACTAATTCAGGACTGTATGTGGGAAAACAGAGGGGACCTCTCTAATCAACCCAGGGCTGTTAAATCTGTGTCCCCCCCCATGGTATCCTTAGCTCTGATTTAAGCTAAACAAGCTGCACTGACTCGAACACAAACAGTTAACATGACAGCGCTGTCTTACCAGACAAAGCAAATATGACAGTGAATGAGAAATGCAGAGAGAAAGAGGGAGAGAGAAGTGTGTAACCATTTTTGTCATAAAACTTGCTGAGAGTTTGATCGACATTCAGGTCAAACAAGGTGAAATCCAGGCAGGAAAAGGAGACAGGAAGAGAGGCAGAGATGTGAGATTGTGAAATGGGGAAAAATAGAGGAGAAAAAAAGAAGAGGAAATGAGTGATGGAACAAGAGAATGACGCAGGCTGTTCTTTTTCCCCTAATATCAACTTCCACACAATCCCCCCCAAGTGCAGGTTAACCAGGGAATAGAGAGGCAGCAGAAGAAAGCATTGCCTGTGGCAGCAATAACCTCCACTAAATGATATGATGTCTGTCTGTGTCTGTGTGTGTCTGTGTGTGTGTGTGTGTGTGTGTGTGTGTGTAGCTCTGACAACCCTCCAATAGCTCGCGCAGCTCCTGCAAGCGTGTAAGAGTTATGTCTACAGATGTAAACTGAATATCTCATCTTCTCTTTCTATCTAACTACCTGCCGTCTCACTGGAGATGTTTTCTCAGACTTCACTGTTTTATTTAGCAGCTAAGACAGCGCACAGTTGAAATAAAAGAGCAGACAGGATGATGGGAGGATAAAAAGAGAGGGGAAAAGAGTGGATTTTTTTTTTCCACTTACAGAGGAATCAGTTATTTTTATGACAGCAGCAGAAAACTAAAGCCACGACCTGTATTGTTGGATGGGTGGCTGAGATGGGTTTCAGTGAAGAAAAGGATAAGGGCAGACATTGAGCAAAATATTCCCCTTAGTGATGGATCAATGAATAATACATGACGCCAGTTTGAAAAGGTTTGCTCCTCTTCAAGCTCATCTGTTAAACCTTGGGAGTTACTTTTTTGACTGGATGTTGCCTGCAGCGGCAATATCAGCAACACGAGGCTAACGTTACCAAATCTAAAGCTTCACTTCTGCTCTGATCCCTTTTCAGCTCATGATGAATCTGAGCAGACAGATGACAATGATGCCCAGCCAATGGATCCCCATTTTTCATCTTAATGAAACATGCTCCTTGAAGCCCAAACTAAATATTTAATGGCCTCTCACATCGACCTTGAAACCCTCTTTAACAGAGACAAAAGGGACTCACTTTCTGTCTTCTCTTTTCATTAATTCCTTCAACTCACTCTTTTCTGTCTGGCAGAGGGAAAAAAAAAGGGACAAAGCAAAATGAGAGTGGGCATCTTTCCACTTTCCTAAAGGGGGATCTGCTTCGACAACAGCATGTTTAGAAGTGCAGGACAATTGTTTACATCTCATTTGGAGGAATGAAAGTCCATTTCAGGTGAGGAATACACAACTGTACTGCCTGTAGTGGAGAGGCTGATGAGGTTCAGTCAGAGAATTGGGGCTATGAAGTGAGGTCAGTCATTTTATTACCCTTCTCCAAGGGGGTGATGGGACGAATGGTTCAATCCAGCGCTTCTCCATCTTGCTACTTCTCTAATCTACCACATAATCTACATTCACTGTGCTCCCCCAGATGTAGATTTGCTCAGGATTAGGTGTAAAAAAAAAAAGAAGAAAACTAACATGACTCTGAATGATGAAGCTGCTCTCATTAAATCCTTTTTGCAAAGTGACAATGAGTTAAAAAAAAAAAAAAAAGGTTTGCATGTTCTACACACTTTGCAACAGAGACAAAATGAGCGTAATTGAATGTTACTGTGAATGTCTGAACCCAAGTACCTGCTGTTCTGGCAAGCTGAGAGAGCGTCCTGGCCCCTGTCCAATGAGAGGTGAGTGAGTCGAACATGAGTGTGTGCAAGTGTGCAAGCTGGCAGGATGTGAGCATTCATACAGAGCTGTATAAAGAGGACAATAACAGTCCCTCCAGTGTTTGAGTAACCTGTTAGCAGCTGGCAGGTTGGATTCTCTGCCAGACTAAACAACGGATCAATTTTTCATTCAGCGACCGGGTCAGAGGAAGGGAGGCCGCGATAGATAAAATATCAGAGGGCTGTTGATTTATAGATTTATAGATAACAGGTTTATTGAGAAGAATGTTTGAAGGGAAACAAAAAGTCACTTTCTTTTCCATACTTTAGCTAACACCCTGCAGTGAATGGGTGAGATGTGCTCCTGTTAAGTGTGTAACATAAGGAGTTCCCGTGACATGTGAATAGTTTCATGTGTGTCAGTAGAGTCCCGTTGGCACAAACAACTTGTACTTACTGCAACAAGAATCTGCGCGCTGCTATGCACCACCTCGATGTACTGGTAGTCCATGAGGCAGCCCATGACGGTGATGTAGGAGTGGCTCTCTGTGGTACGGACCCCCGGAGCCTGTGGCATCTCTCTCCTCACACAGCCCGGCCCATGCTCGCTCCACCAAGAGTGATGAGCTGAGATGTTAAATGTCAGCAGGTCGCTGTCCTGAAAGGGGAAGAAAACATAAGCGTCTTTATGCTTGGATACTAATAATCTATAAAGGAAACCAGAGATGGACAACAGGTGATGTTATTAAGGAGGCAGGGGGCTTTCTCTGGAAACATTCTGCAGATGGAGCCAAGGAGCAAAAGAATTAGGAATTAGTTTCATTATAACTTGCAAGTTTTCAAGATAATTGTTCTTAAGGAGTTCTGCTTTAACCCTTATGAAGTTGAGGTAAAGCTAGCCGTGTTTGTGGAGCTTGAAGTGTTGGAAAAATGGTTTTCATTTGGAACAGCAATGTGTTTGTTTCTCTCTGAAGAAAACCAGTGACTGTGAAGTTTGTGGATTATCTTGAGCTACATTCTGGTGAACAAACAATCCTTTTAAAAGCAGCCAGCACAGAGTTTTGTAACTGGGACATTGTTCAAGGAAAGATATGGTGATGTTCGAATGATTTGCTGTAGACAAATATCTCAAAACCAGGGCAAAATCAAAGTATAACTTTTGCATTGCAAGTTGTCAATAAAGGAATTGGAAATGATAATTAAAGGGATTTTTTTTTTTTTTTTTTACATAATATAAAAGGTGAACAAACCAGTTATTTATTTGTTCTTACTGAAATTGACAACCCCCTTGAGCTTTATGTTTACAAAGTTTCTGAGAACTTTCATCAGTCTGAGCCAACAAGTTTTTAGATTCAGTTTTGTAACTTTGAGTAAGAGCAGCACTTTTTACATGGAGCTCTTTTACAGCCAGTCGATGTTCAATTTGCACACAGCCATATGAGCCCACACATACAGATGCACAGACACTCACACCAATCAATACCCCAATACAGCAATCTAACCCCGCATCTGCCCCCTCAAGTGACAAGACATACATTATTAACAGAGCCAAATGCTGTCAGGAAAACATCTCTGATTCCTATCATCCCCCACTCACGCTTACATGTACACATGGCCAACACGAAACAACAGCAGACATGAGCAGTCACTGAAGATGAGTGCAACAGGAGTCATGAACAATATTTACAGATTCTAATCGCTTTCTAAGTGTTGATCATGTATCATCTATGTATCATCTCCTTCTGTCATTCTGTTGTCCTCTCAGTCAGGGAAAGCTGAAGGTCAATATGTTGGATTGTGCAGACTAATGACTTGACAGATGCCGTTGATTGAGGCCGCAAGCTAGGGAACCCGTCTCTATCCGAGCCGTAGCCGCAGACATGACTGCAGTACGTCAGCGGTCAATAGAAGAAGCTTTTGGCAACTTACTGTCAGGAGTGTAGTTGTTATGCTCCCAATCACCCTGAAGAACAAAATCAATCCCCTCATCATAGATTCAAGAATAGTCCGCTTACTGCTCAAACCGTTTTCCTGAACAAAAGTTAATACATATTTGTAGTTGAGAGTCCTGAAAACTAGACTGATGAGGCTCTCTGATAAGAGATTTTATCTCCTGATTTATTGTGTCTGAAATATAGAGAACAGAATAAATGTTAGTGTAATCCCTTCCTATATGTCCTCCACTGACTCTAATTGTTTTTTTTTTCATTTTATAAAGAAGTAACAATGTCAAAGATGTTCTGCTATCATTTTCATAGACATATTCTTCTATAATAAAGAATAACAACAGTATCTTTACACTCAGGGAATTGACTGAGTTAATGAGCCGTCACGCTGAACTATCCTTCAGATCCCTCCTTCAGATCACTCCCTTACGCTAACAAAGTTGTCAAGCAAAATAAATATAAATACATAAAATTGGAAACATCTCCAGTAGTTATGTTGACAAACAGAAGCAGCAGTATTTTCTAATTAAATGAATCCCCTGTCATGAAGCATTTTATTGAGTCTAATTAAATGTGCCTGATGATCTCAGGCTGCACACTGGATGAATAGGGGACAGCAGTTCAGTTGTATATTCTGGGGCCAGACCGTGAAGTGCTTTAAAAGTAATGAGTAAACCCTAAAAATCAATCCTAAAAGAAAGGGACAGTCCGTGTAAGGTCGTTAAAACAGGAGCAAAATGTTCTCTCTTCGAAGCTTCTGTTTAAAGTCTTCACAGTGAAAGATTTACCAAGAGTGCAAGTTATCAAGGTCCAATGACTTAAATCTCAGTTTTATCAGCGTTTAATTTGAGAAAATTTGCTAACTTCCATTTCCTAATGTACTGTATGTAAAACAATTACTGATGTCTGAGAGGTTTGGAGAAGCCCTTTGTTCATTTGGTAGATACAGCTGTGTGTCATCAGCGCAGCAGTGAAACCGAATGTTGTGTCTTCGTATAATGTGGCCAAGAGGGAGGGAGCAGCTGTCAACAAATGTGAAGTGACAATGTGAACGTTTCGACTTTTAACAGACTTACATTAAGAGGTCAAAACACTGATCATCACGGTTACTCTGGACTTAAGTTGCTCTCAGTGTTGCACACAGTTCCATTTGAGAATGAATCAATATTCTACACAGTATTTGGTAAAAACCTGCACCAAACTTATTTATTATCAAATCTAAAATATTTTGGAGAGCTCAGATACTGAGGGGCCAAATGACCCAAATAAGGAGAGAATGAAGCCTTTTCATATTCAGACAGTTGCACGCAGACTTAACATGTCCAAAGTCTGTATTTAAGCAGGCAAAGTGATGGCATTGAAAGACTTTGGGCTGTTTAAAAAGGAGGTGTTTGTAGAGTAGCAGGGGTCTGTCGGTCAGTCTGTCTATCACCATGGGGGAGGGGATAAGGGATCAATAGGAGGTGACAGAGCATGTGGCATATGACTCCTACAACCTGCCCCCTCACTTTAGGGCCCTGCCACCCTTCACACCCAACTCACCCACACATACACACACACACAAAGACAGACAAAAATACAAACACATCCTTAGGAACAGTCCTGTCAAAAGCAGTCAAGGCAAATCAGACAGATTGACCTGCCCGTTTTATGATAAAATGTGTTGAGGACCCCTCAGTGTGCCATGTTTGGTCGTGCATGTTCACACAGGGTGTGTGTGTGTGTGTGTGTGTGTGTGTGTGTGTGTGTGTGTGTGTGTGTGTGTGTGTGTGTGTGTGTGTGTGTGTGCTCCATTAGCCAGCTCTCCTCCTGGCTACCATATGCAGAGCTGGGAGCCCAGGCTGGCTCCATCTGTCGGGTTAATGCCCAGCCCCAGCCCCAAGCAGCTGGCCCCTACAAGCCTCATTATTCTAGCAGGAAACATGCAGAAACACACAAACACACACACACACACGCAGTGACAGGCAGACACACTTGATGGAGCCATGGTCTATCACACAATGACAAAGTCGCCAGAGCTTGGGCAGGTGATGCTGAAATTCATTTTTGGCCGTCTGAACTGGTATGAGATGAATGTTGCCTACATGAACTCATTATTCCTGATGGTCAGGCGGGCAGTTGGGCAAGATAATTATTAAAAGGGGAGGAGAGAAAGGGAGAGGATAAGAGAGGAGGATTTAAAAAAAAAAAAAAAGAAGAGATATGAGTTTGAATTATGTAAATTACATTTTAAAAGATCAAAGGGGCAGTGAGTGAAGTTAAATAAGGGAGAGAAGGTGCGTTGAGAGAGGGTGGTTAAAATGTAGAGGTTGGGTAAATTTGAAAAACATTCACATTTCAATGTTTGAGTGTACAAGGTGGTTTTTTTATAGATGTGTAATTTATCTATTGAGTTGTAAGCTTCCATTTGACACTACATGAAGGTGACTGCCCCCCACAGTTTAGCAGAGATGCAACAAACAAACAATTTAGAGCTTAAAGACATTCTTCAAGTTCAAATTAAACATCTGTGTTGAGTTGTGGCAGTTGCAGTGTGTACTATGTAGACTCTTAAAGGTTGGAGAGTGATTTATTGTGAGGTATAGGATTCATACTATATGACTGTGTTGCAAAGTTCATTTATTATATACTCAAACCGATGGTGTTTATTGGGCTGTATTTGTTACGCCGGGCCAATCCGGCTTGACATATTCTAAAAACAGCATTGCAAGCAGGGCATCACATCTAATTAAAGCTAATGTATATCTTCACTGCTGCTAAAGCTCAAGAAGGCTCCATTATACTTTTATATTTTGCAATATAAAATCGAGGAGCAGCATTGCCTGTTGTAAAAAATAATAATAAAAAAATAAACATTGGCACTAGGTAAGAAATAAATCTGAATATTTTTCAGGAGAAAAACAAACAAGCTCAGACTTGAGGCTTTTTCCTGGCAGCAGAGAGAATTCAGGAAGTATACTCGGCTGAGTTGTTTGTTCTTCTGTCTCGTGACAGCTCAGTGTGTACTAACATGCTTACGCCATGGCCACTAAAACTAACAGGAAAAAAAAAAAAAGTGTGTTCTAAAACATCATCCATTTTTTAAAAGTTTGCTTGCTGTTGTTACCCGAGAGACATTCCTGAACCAAGACGTAACTACATGAAACACTCCAGATTTTGATAAGTGGACATAAGCACTGTTTATCTTGTTGACTTGTGCAAAATTGTTTACAGCTTCCTTTTAAAGATTCATCCACACGCTGGTCTTGTATTTTCTAGGGCATGCAATCATAACTTACAGATAAAGATGACTTAAGGGAATGTAGAAATTATTTAGTTTCTGAACTAAAAATTTGGTTAAAGGGCAAAACGAACAAAATAGTTTACATACATCACAGTGTTTTATGCATATTCTTAACAAAAGAACTGCCGGTTAATCAAGAAAAGTACTTTTCTATGGCTGTGGTATAAGAGTTTATGAGCAGTAACAGCCTTTCAGTATGCCTAAAAAGACACCTGCAGTGTAGGTGGTTCATCTCTCAGACAGGGGAATATTAATCAGACTTCACTTCCTCATCTGACTGCAAGCATGACATCAGAGGGAAAAGAACATTCATCAGTGCAGACAAAGCCGTCCGACCTGCGCGACAGATGAACAAAGAGAGATTTGGTAAATTTTTTTTTAAAAAAGCAGCCGACAGAACATTTCTGAAGTCTCACCTTGGAGAGTCCGCCTACGTCCAGGTAGAAGCAGATGATGAAGACGTTCCAGGCCACCCACAGAGCGGCCCACACTGTATACTGAAGGGCAAAGACACAGGCAGATTAGTGCCATGGCAACTAGATGAACAGAACAGGGTATGACAGCTAAAAAATAAAATAAAAAAGCAGGTTGAATCTATAAGCTCCTGAGAGGGGGAAGTCAGTAGTGGATGGTGCACTCATGTATACACTCCCATGCACAGATATTGTATCACACACACACACCTATGTGTTATATAAATTGACACACTATACAAAAAAAATTGGTATGGAGGACCTCTCCTCTTTTCAAGGCGCTTGTAAGTTCAGCAAGTCATAAAGGCCCTGAGGGAGCTGAAGCTTTTTAAACCCGCTGACGCTGAATTCAACTCACGACCTGAACCGTTTATAAAAATTGTACAGTCAGACAAGCAGCCTGTTGACAGACACAGAGAAGTATTTACTGACAGAAAGATAGAGGCGCATCATTGTAAAGGAAGGTTGTGAAATCTTCTGACTCATGATGAATTATAGGTTTGAAATGTCAGAGGTGTCAGAGGAAGAGCGGAAGGCAAAACACTGCTTTTGTAAAAAAAAAAAAAAAAACATGTTGAATCATGAAACTCCTTAGCTTGCTCTCTGCTATTTTCCACTTGTAGTAAGACAAAAGCTTCACTCTCCCTCCTTCCTCTCCACCCTTCAATTCATGCTTCCTCTGTTTCTTCATTTTGTCCTTGGAGCCTCCTGCCTATCCTCCTATATCCCCTTGTCTGTCTTTATTTACTCTCGTCTCCTCTGTTTCAATCTCACCCCCTCAACCCCCATCTTTTCCTGTCATCAACATCACCATCTGTCCCTTCACTAGCGCTGCTAAAAACAGGCATTTTATCTCCAAGATAAACGTCATGGTTTCATACACAAACTGACGTGCAAAACGAACACATTTGTGAAGCTGCATAGTGGCACTTTTAAACAGGAGGAGTAAACCGAACCCTGCACATGCTTTGCATTGTGTTTCAAAGAATGACCTTCTCTGTCCAGAAAACTCTGCACAGCGTATAAATCTGATGAGCTCCTTAGTCCCCCCCACGCAACACCCCCCATCCTGTTTAATTAGCCCTAATTACCCAGGGATTACTGTGATTTAAGGGTGTCGCACGATGCACAAGAGAGTGAGGCTCACTTCACAGTTAAACAGGAAAGGCAGCAACATGTCCGATCAGATGCTCAGGCAGACGACTAATGCAAAGTGATAGGACACTGCTTAACAGAAACCGTGAGGAATTGGATTATGGGACAGGCTGTTCGGAGCCTCACGTGAACTTCCCAGTCTTCATTTACGTGTACTCACCACAATAATGTAGCGCGGCCTGTACTGAATGGTGCCGAAGAGGCCGAGGATGACGATGATGATGTGGAAGAAGTTGGCCAGGATTGGGGCCCATTGGTAACCCAGGAAGTCAAAGACCTGTCTCTCTAAAGCCAAGACCTAGAGGGGGTAAAGATAAAGAGAAATGTTAGGTTCAAAGATCACAACGCATACTTTACTTTGTTTCAGACCCATAGGTCCATATCGTACTTCAACAAAAAAAAAAAAAAAACCTGAAGAAGGTCAGGGTTTGTAAAAAGCTTAAAAAAACACGGCCCTAGATAAATGTCAGCTTTCATTCACACACTAGCAATTTGCTCATATACTTCTCAGATTATTGAGGACAATATATATTTACTTCTCAGCAAAAGGCCAACTTCCCTGTATTGACCTGGCCCACATGAACAGCCTGAGTGTTTAGCTCCCGACTTCGGGAGCACCCCAAGGTGAACACTGGAAGTTTAATAGAATAAACAATGACAGGTTTATCGATTTTACCCCTTCTAAGCAAAAGACGAGCTCACTCTTTCCAGCCAGCCTGCCAATGGCCTCCAGGAAGGAGAAAAAATCTCTGGGAACTTTACGGGAGGCATGGACCTTCCTTAATAAACCCCACTGCAGTGAGCTTAGGTGCTTATTAAAGTATGCACTCACAAACAATGTGTATATATGCACATGTGCGTGCATAAGCTAAGTTAAAGCCTCTACAATAAAATGAGGAATTCTACTGTTGTCTCAACGCTGGCTCCTCCTTTCCTCTCCTTCGTAAAAACAGTGGTTTCAGGGCAATTCTGTATACAAAGATTGATTTATTCATGATGTCCTTTGTTTTATTCCTTCCAAATACCTGTGCTCTTTGCATGCAAGATTTCTGTGCAACGGCAAAAACAGAGCAAAGCAATACGAGCCCTTAAAGACTGCAAGTTCCTATTTACATCAACTCAATTAGCCTGCCATTTGGGAGGGAATAGGGAGAGAGTGTGAAGCATTTAATTAGAATTCCATTGCCAATACAATTCAATTCCCGGTGTGTGTGTGTGTGTGTGTGTGTGTGTGTGTGTGTGTGCGCGTGCATGTCTAAGGCAACGATGTGTTTCCTTGTGTGTCGACATGTCATTTCCAGCCAAGCGCTTGAAGATGGATGAGGATGGGAGAGGATGCGAGAAGGGAATCTCGTCTCTGCCGAAATGATAGGAACGCACCACTGAGCACATTCATGCAAAAGTACACACACACACACACACACACACACACACACACACACACACACACGACACACAGCTATGGCTGCTCTCCCTCATGTAATGGAAATGTTACTAGCAACCCGATGAGACTTTGTGACAGGCAAGGGAGCGAGATGATCAAATAAGGACAGCTCATTAAAAATGAACACTCCTTTGGATCGAGGGCGAGGTCAAAACCCCCCCACAAAGATGAATTCACTTTGACCTGTGCCAAGTGTTAGTGCAACAAAGTCAACAAAATATCTGCAATATTAAACGTGAGAAACAGAATGATTAATAGCTGGGATCAAAATAGAGATGGATGGGGACAATTTTATGAAGAAAAGATAAGAAAACGGATAAATAAGAGATAAAGGAAATGCAGAGGAAATCACACACGACATATGCTAACGTTAAACAACTGAGCTCCCTCCTTCTTAATAACCTCCGTCTATCCTTCTGGAAAAAAGGAAATGACTAAAGTCAAAGCAGATAGACATCTTCTGGTCAGCTCCTGGCCGCGCTCATAGAGTTCAATAAAAGTCACATCACTAGATGAGCGGCGGATAAGCTGCAGTTAGTTTTAGAGCTGACAGAGCTTACACTGACCCCTTTGAATAGATAACACTTGTGGGGATTATTCACCAGCCTTTGTTTTATCGATGCATCTCTGGATAAACATCAGGAATAATACCAAAGGATTTATAAAGATAGGATTCATGATACATTATATTCATAAGAATCAACAACCATAACCTGCTCCAGATTATTTTAAAGAAGGACAGTTGTGAGAAAGAATATTTGTACACCTGATCAATAAAAAACTGATACACCGTCAGCCTATTTTTTTTTTCTTTTCATATTTACCCAACAAAAAAAAGGCCTCTTAAGCCGGGCAAAGACTGTGATTTCAGGGTGATCTTGACCTGCTTTTTTTGAGTTGCACTACTATTGTGGAAGTGGGGCTCTGAATTTCAGCCCCACTTCCACATCCTGCATCGTCGTGCAATGTACAGATGAGTCACGCTCAGTTAGTGTGGCTCCCTCCACTTGATACCAGACAGAAAATGGGGAGTTTTATCTTCCATGTTGAAGTGAAGATAGTAAAGCTGAGCTCACAGAATGTCCTCTGGTAATCCTGATGGGAAAAAAAAAAAAAAAAAAAGAGAGATCCAAAGGCTTTACAAAATCTGTTAAACAGCTTTTATTCTATTTGGCTTGATGAATGCAAAAAGCCTTGGGAAGATATCTGGATGTAGTTGGTACCATTTCTTTTTAATTGCACTTGTGAAAAGTCTAAATGAATGAAGACATTTAAGCCCATTTACATCTTTTCCTCCTCTAATCAGCATATTACAAAACTGATATAATTATTTATTTAACTGTTAAATATACTTGCATGAATAGTGATTTGATATTTTAATGTTTCCACAAATAAAGTATAGATTGAAGATTATTTTGATATGTTTAAACGTTTGGCTTCATCACTGTAACTCACAATGCACACATACACTGTACACATCCATGTCTGGGGGCAAGTAAAAAAAGCAATAGTGATGCTAATGAACATGAACCTTCCTCCATCCAACACACATACAGCCATGGACCCTTTCCCTGAAATATTTCCACTGGTCATTGAATTAAAGAGTGTACAGGCATGAGGGTTGTGTGTGTGTGTGTGTGTGTGTGTGTGTGTGTGTGTGTGTGCGCGCATGTGTATTCTCTCCTCTCAGATGCTGTAGTAAGGCTATCATGTTCCCTGCTAACTCAATAATCTGCCAAAATGACAACAATCAATCAAGGATAGAGATGCCTCTGCCTATCCAGAAACACACACGCAGACACACACACTATTATCCGAACCCATATGGCACAATTAGCCCACAATTCATAGGAAGCAGGTTACTGGAGAGTGGGGCAGAATTTGATCAAAAGATACCAACGCTCTTCCAGGAATAGCGAGCGGGCTACATAACGGCTCGTAAAAGCCTCACACCGACCTCCTGCAAGCACAAATGACTCCCTCCAGGGTGACGGGATCTCTTAGTGTGTATTTTGGTTTCGGGGTGTGTATATGTTGCCCACACATACCACTCCTCCCACCATAAATACTAAGCAATTAAGGGGTGGGAATGGCAGCAGGATGCAACAAGCCCTCTCCCACCGTCCTCCATCTCACTCTCTTTTCACACTGGTTGTTCCCCCCCCCCCATCTCTTCAAAACCATCAATTATCCCCTCCTTACCCATGTGATTCTGGATTATTAACAAGGACACTAGAACTCAATCCTGCTGCTTCCATCAGAAGGTGTTCGCCTATGCAGATCATCTCAGTTTTGAGAGGTGTGCACAAAAAGGACTAAACACACAAGTGGACACAATCTGGGGCTATAATTACAATTGTTCCAATGCCGGTCCCTGCCTAAAAAAATAAAAATGGTTTCAGGTAGCTATAACAAAACAGCTGTGTGGTGCAAAAATGACAGTGTCAAGATGTAAAGATCAGTTTTTTATCCTCCAATATTACGTATATTTTTTAATTGCACTGATATCAGAGGGGGGCTCTGTATCAGCCAATACTTAAAAACTACAACTAATTATATAGAATTGGTATCAGGAAGAAAAAAAGCTTTCTGAAAATGTCTCTCATAATCCCTCCTTCCCACAACACAAGAATTCAGGGAATCAAAATGCAAAAAAATGTCCAATGGCTCACCAACGTCTGTGACATGCCTTAAAGGAGAAATGAAAAGGAAAGTAAGCTACACATAAGAGTGATGAAGGATCAAACTTATCTGAGGAAGGAAAACGGTTTGATCCACATCATTTGAAAGCTAATTGAGATGTGCATGTGCGCTCAAAATACATTAAAAAAAAACAAAAAAAAAAACACAGTTGCTTTAGTGAAGCAGCCAACCAGGATTCGGAAATAGAAAACATTACGGTGGCTTGATGAGTTATTCAATGATGAAAGGCTTATCTGCGTTGTCAAAATTAGCGATCTGCAGTAGTAGGATCATTTCTGATTAGGTGTGAAGGAGGACCTGATGATGACCCCCCCGCAGCAAGAGGACTGAGGTGACTGGTGACACTCTGATTCCCACTTTCGCCTGCAGATACTATAAATCAGATCAGTGGTTCTCACTCTCTGTACATCCTCAGTGAAATGCCCTCTGATAACATGTTACCCAATGTGTCATCAGGATCTCTAGCTTTGAAGAGCTGGCCTGTCTGTCTGCCTGTCTGTCTGTCTGTCTGTCTGTCTGTGTGTGTGCTCATTCTGTATTACTTTAGGCTGCATGAGTCAGTCTCCTCCGTGTTCAAGCATATCACTCTGACTCACAACCGGGCAGGAGGATGGAAGAGCAGAGGTGAATTATGATTCCTTCTAACAAGCCATCTCCTGGTTTTTTGTTGTTGTTTTTTTTAGCTCAGTGGCTTTGCTGATGGGCTGTTTTCAATTTAGACGTACAGATTAGCCAATGAAGCGAAGCCGGATAACACGATATGAATCTGAAGTGCAGTTTTAGTGCGATATCCTAATTATCAGCTTGGTTCCACATGTGTTTCATACTCTATCTGGCAGAAGCATTATGCATTACCTGCTGTGTGTCACTGGGATTGACTGCCAAGGCAAAACACGGCACAGTGTCTAAAGCCAGCCTCTGATCATTGCTTACCTCTTCATATAGTTTGAAATAAAACACTAGTTTGGATTTCCCTCATGAATGTTAAAACCATCTAAGAGAAGCTCCGGGTCTATGACTACTTGCATGACCCGTGAAACGAGTGGTTTTTACATTTCGCTCTTGAGATCCTCCCAAAGGGGAACAAACCTGCATCTGAGAGGTCTGGAGATGATTAACAGGATAGACAATCACAAGAAGCATCTCTGCTA